AAACTTATAATTGAAATAACATTTAATAGTTTTTTGAAAAAGATGCAATTTCATACAACACATCTTGCTTAATACAAAAGATTATTTTTCTATTCATGTAGTTGTGTGCGTTGAAGCTGAAAGAAAATGGTGTTTTTAGAAAATTGAATGTCATGAGAATTAATCTTTAAATAACTTGTATGTACTTCATCAATCTCTAGTGTTTCTGTAGTTGTCATATTTGATAGAAATTGGTAGTTAAGAGTAGATGTCTATCAGTAAAAAATCTTGTCAAAAGCTTGTTCAAGTTGGCCATAAGGAAAATTGAATTGTTTTCATTGATTAACATTGACCTAGATTGGAGAAAGATGACATGAAATTTCTGAAATTATTTTTTTTCTGTCTGAATACATGTATCTTAATACAATCTGACTTCATAACATCAGATAGATACATATTTCTGGTTTTATACATGGATCTGGTTTCAGAAGTTTATGTGAATACATGTATCTGGTTTCAAGACTTAATGTGAATACATGTATCTGGTTTCAGAAGTTTATGTGAATACATGTATCTGGTTTCAAGACTTTATGTGAATACATTTATCTGATTTTATATCTTTAGCTAAATACATGTATCTGATTTCATCTCTTTAGCTTAATACATATATTTGGTTTTATATCTATAGATACATGTCTGTGGTTTCATACATTCAGCCCAAAACATATAACTGGTTTCATCTCTTTTGCTAAATACATGTATCTGGTTTCATATCTTGAGCTAAATACGTGTATCTGGTTTTATATATCTAGATACATGTCTGTGGTTTCTAACCTTGAGCTAAATACATGTAACTGGTTTCAGCTAGATATAATCATGTCTATGGTTTCATACCACTGTTCATACCCTCAGCTGGTTGCATAACTTTGGCTCGATACACATAGATTTTACTTTGTAAATGTTGTCCAATGAGAATGTGGAACTCCACTACCTAACTAAAGTTTATGAAAACAAAAAAATTATACAGGAAATATAGGCAGCAAATCAAGCCAATAAAGAACTTGTGGCTTAAAAGTCTAGCAATTGATCAAATGCACAGATATATTTGTAAGTATGACGTCTGCACGATTTTCATTTCAGTAAGAGGATAAAAAACAAGTTGTCTAATTTCCTTCTTACAGCCTGTTATCAAGATAAAATCGCCATCAGAATGTTTCTAAGTTCTTTTCTAAAGATCAAGCAATTAGCAGGGAGATCTTCCCTGAATATGTGTCTACTTTCATTTCTTATCTAAAGGATTATTACAAGTGGTTCCAATCTTCTCCTGGCAGACTTAATTTGGATAAGAATGTTGAAATCTTTGCTAAGACTATAAGGATGGGTATATTGTTATTTAATCGCTGGATGTTGATGATAGACTGATTGGAGAGAGAGATTTGGAAATGAAATTGCTGAACAGGGATTTTGACATTTTGGAAATAATTAGGTTGAAATGATGAGTTATTACTGGTTATTTGAAGGAGAAATTGAATGTGAAGGACTAACAACTAGCTTTGAATTCTATTGGTTACTTTTATCATATGCCAACTAGTTCCCTCCTGGCTCATATTATCTTCGTTTATAGTTTTTGTCATATGTGATCATCAGATTCAAGATCCAAATGCAGAAATCACATGTATTAGATTTAAAATCTGGGAAAATATTTCAGAAATAAACCATCAAAAGTTGCTTTTAGCTACATAAGGTAAAGACATTATCACTAGTTTGGATATGAAAGTGATTGTTAAGTATGAATATTTATGGTCATTACAACATTTTTATATTGACACATGAGGTTGTGTTGACTTTCTATAGTGTAAGATAGTGTATTCTGAATGATTGTCATCCCCCACTGTCACGTTCTACTATTGATGCCAGCTGGTTGAATTTGAGCTAACCAATGCTTCTCTTGAGTGAACTATTGAAAACAGGCAAAATTCTGTCAATCAGAATACTCCTTTTAAATTTCCAATTGTCAAAACATTTTAAATATGCACTGTCATTAGCACTAACAATCTGACTGTTCCATCTCATCCTAATGCAGGATTGTACTATGGACCTATGGTTAGTGAGCAAGCAGCATCGAATCCTCAGCAGCTTTCCTATACAGTTAAAAATATGATGGTCTATTGTTCTTTGGAAATAAATAACTAAACCAACCAACTGTATATAAGCCATGGTGTTAAAAATATTTTTGATTGAATTATTCCACAAATTCTGTATCAAGAATATAAAATTCATGATTCCAATAAGCTTTGATCTTATTATTTTTACATGCTTCAATATTGATAATTACTTTTTCAGTCATGTTTTTAAAAACAGTTAAGCATAAAATCCTTGAGTAATGGTTTCTTTTATGTCATAATTTGTTTGAAAGCCACCCTATTTTCTAAACAATGGATATTTTTTTTTAAAGCTGTCTTCTACAATACAAGCAATAAATTTTATCGATCTGTAACGTTCAAAATGTCTGTTCAAGAAAGTCTTAGAATAATAACCTCGTTTAGTTCTGATTTTCTTTATATATTGCTTTGATATTTTTTAAGGGATTAAAGGAATATTTGTTACCATTTAAGTCTCCAGACTTTAGTAATAGAGATGCCATAGTCTGTTCAGTTTTTCCTGTTACACCTAATATTATTAACAGGCCTTTACAAATATTTGAGCTTTATCAGATGATGAATAAAACATTTCAGTAACTTTATTAGTATCCGCTTAAACCATTCATTATTTTATTCGGCTTTTGTCATATTTTTCAACAATAATGTTGACTAGAGCAGACATTAACAAAACAAAACCTTAGGTCAATAAAATATTGAGAATTGAAATTATTGCAACCAAGCAATTCACAATAAATATTTTGCTCACATTGGTTACACCAGAATTCCTCTTATTTACAATTCATATTATTCATACAAATTTATAATTTCATTACCTATTTTATTGGAAGTATAATTATGAATTGATATTAACCTTTTTTATCATTTCTAAAACGATTCAATGAAAATATGATGCATGAATTTATCAATTTATTAACTGAACTGTTATGAGTTTAATATCTATAGCATTTTAAGAGTAAGCCAATTTATACACCAAGCCCAAATGGGCAGAGGTTACAAGTTAATGTGTAACCTGAATATCTCACATTCCTTACAAGTGATCAGTAGAAATTTCATTGAACAGAGCATTAGATTGGTTTAATATTTGATTGACCTAGAACATGTGTTGCATGGCAATTCTTTTAGATCATAGGTGGAAAACATAAAAAACCATGTAGATCAGAATTTCAGACATGTCACTAAAATGAGTTATTGTGCAATAATAGCAATTTTTGATGAATTTGTACATTGAACAATGATTACAGACTGGTATTCTGTTAATTTCATAAATGTCTGTCACAGTTGGATTTGAAATGAACTTTGCATGTATGTTACTAGAGAAGGAAATAAATACCTAAGCAGAATGTCAGGATTTGATTATTGAAGATTTATTATATTGGAGATAATATGTTCTAATGAACTGCAGACATGCAATGACTAATCAACCTTTAACATTTATTGTATTTACTATTATCTTGATAATTCTTAAGATAACACTGCAGTTATATACATGTTTTATCTCTTGAAGGTTGAAAGGAACCAGGAAATTTTCCACATCTTATACCAGACCAAGTTATTTTCTTGTTTTCAGATCCTCCTACCTCAATTCTCCAGAAATCAGTATGAAAAACAAACAAAATCAGCTCCACTGGAGAAAAAATACAACCTTCATTCCAAATGAAACAAAAAAATCATCACCATCAGAAACTCCTATTATTGATATTTGATTAAATCAATACTGAGAGTGTAGGAAAATTCAGGTTTTCTTGGTTTTTTTTAAGTTTTTTTTAGTCTACCACTTTTCACACAAATTTGTTTTTTTTCTCTCCTGCTGTAGAACATTATACAAAATTTGTCTGGCCCTAATATGCTTTGTTAGAATATAATTGTTATTTTACATACATTCTTCAACTGAGCTTATGTAAAGCAAAATGCTATCTTGTTGATTGATAATAATCAATAGAAAGTTTTCATTATGAAGTTGTACTCCCATGTTGAGAGGCTATTGTTATATATTCTGACAAACTGTTGTCTATGGTTAAAAAAATTAAATTAGTCTCCATTGATTTTTAGATTGGTAGTGTATAAAATATGGTAAAGGACCTGCACAAGTAGAAGATTCATTTGATTGTGTTTCTTATTTCTGCATTTATCTTGTATCTTTCCAATATGTTTAAGTTTCACTGATCTTCTTATGTCTCTTCAAAGATGATTTAATTCTAAAAGAATAAAATACAATAGGCTGCATGACATAAGAAGATTGAAAGATGATCTAAAGAGATAAAGCTGTTTTAAGAAATTTGATAGCTAGTTCGTCTACGATAAATGAAAAATGTATTGTTGATGGTAATGGCAGCAGTAATTCAGAAAACGTGGTGCAATGCCATCTGTTGTCAATTCCTCAAAAGGATTTATAGCTCTAATATCTCTGATAGTCACATGTTTTTTTTAGTCTTATAATAATATTAATAATATCTTTATTACAAAATGGTACAAAATTAGGCATACAAAATCGACCATCATCAAGATACAACCAAAACATACAAATAAACAAAAAGACAATTACATGGATGACAAGTTATACTTCTATTGTAGGGCCTTGAAATTTCAACCCAGTTTCAGTCAGATGCTACCATCAACAGATAGCAAGCTTACACAATGTTTGGTTTTTGGTTCTTTTAAAACAATGTATTTTTCAGCAGAATGATTAGTAAACATGTTTTAACTGTATCTTTGTTTATGTTTGATAATGATTCCTGTATGTGAAATGAAATGTTGCTAAAATTAAAGGAAGGAGAAGAATATATTCATAATAGTGTTCTTATTTATCTAATGATCTGTTTACTAACTGTCACTCAAAGATATTCAGTTTAAACTGTTTTTTATTTCAGTCAAGATGAAGCAAAGAAGATTGATGAAGAATTATTTGATGAATATGCTTTTAGTGTTGATCAGTTGATGGAACTAGCAGGCTATAGTTGTGCTATAGCAATAGCCAGAGTAAGTTATTTTTCAAGAATTTGTCATCTTCGAGTGTCCTTGAACTTCATTGAACATTAACTAGAATGAAATAAAATTTAGCATACATATAAATTATTAAAAATGGAATAATATAAATTTTAAAAGTTCTATTAAACATATTTAGATACTGGTACATTTTTTATTCAAATAATGATAGCATAATCAAAATAGAAGTTCTTGTGGTTTCTGTGTCTTATTCAATCAACTGTAATTTATAAACTTACTGGTTGTCATTGATACTTGAATCATATCCATGGTGTCATTCAGTTCATGTTAAAATAGGGGAGATAACTGACTGTGATCTGTTTATCTGGTGCTTGTTAGGTCTAGGCAAACTCACATTGAAACTAATGACAACAGGTCAGACAGTACTTACACTGTGGGCTTTCTCTTCTGTTTACCAACTACTCTGATCTGATTAAGTCTTCAACAGTTAAAATGGTCTACCATGACAGTTTGGCTTGTGCTTTGCAACATAACATGGTTTTTAATGGAAGCTTAATTTACTGGTATTATGTGCAGATTGTCACATGATCAAGTGATTCTGGTAGTGTACACATCAGAGGCTGGTCATTCAGGAATACACTTGTCTGAAAACAAATCCAATAAAAAGAAAACACAGTAAGAAATGGATTACAAATGAAAAAAAAATAGTGCTTGACAGATAGTCACAATATATAGTATTAAAATCAAAAGAACAAGTATATGTAAGATTTAATCCTTCTACAGGCCTAAAGCTATGGACAGTGCACTTCTACTGTCATTTGACAAATCAGTGGTAAAATGCTGCAAGTAAAGAGGCACAAAAGACACAATGAAATCTACTATTCATGTGAATGTATAATCTGGTAGATATTGATGGTGTTGATAAGGTCAATGTGAATGTATAATCTGGTAGATATTGATGGTGTTGATAAGGTCAATGTGAATGTACAATCTGGTAGATATTGATGGTGTTGATAAGGTCAATGTGAATGTACAATCTGGTAGATATTGATGGTGTTGATAAGGTCAATGTGAATGTACAATCTGGTAGATATTGATGGTGTTGATAAGGTCAATGTGAATGTATAATCTGGTAGATATGGATGGTGTTGATAAGGTCAATGTGAATGTACAATCTGGTAGATATTGATGGTGTTGATAAGGTCAATGTGAATGTACAATCTGGTAGATATTGATGGTGTTGATAAGGTCAATGTGAATGTACAATCTGGTAAATATTGATGGTGTTGATAAGGTCAATGTGAATGTACAATCTGGTAGATATTGATGGTGTTGATAAGGTCAATGTGAATGTACAATCTGGTAGATATTGATGGTGTTGGTAAGGTTAATGCGAATATACAATCAGTTAAGTTTTGGTGGTGTTGATAGTCCATGTGATTGTATGATCAGTTAGGTTTTGATGGTGTTGATAAAGTCAATGTGAATGTACAATATCATAGATTTTGATGTTGTTGATAAGGTTAACGTGAATGTACAATCAGAGGAATGTAAGTTGATGTATTATGTTTTGATGGTTTTCATAAGGCACATTTGGACTACAAAAATCCAAGAAATAAATGGTCCAGTATTTCACTATTCTGATATAAACTGAAAATATAAATGATGACTTTATACTAATTTCAGTGTTATCCAAGAGATCTAATGACCAAAGATAATGGTGCTGTATTGGTGTGTTGTGGACCTGGTAATAATGGTGGTGATGGTTTAGTCTGTGCGAGACATCTTAAACTATTTGTAAGTAATTCAATTCTCATTTACATTTTAGTATGCTAAGAAATGTTATGTTGTCAGTCTAGACCATTACGATCTTAGCGCTAGGATGTCTTTGGATGGGAAATACACAGCCAGGACACTTTAAACTTATAAATATTTACTGTTTAAAGTACTACTAGTTGAACAGTTTTGAAATAATAGTGTACAAGATCTGTTGTTCTCAAATGCATTTTAATGGAACTCTTCACACAAGAGGTAATTATATATAACCTAGTTACTTGGATGGAAACAAAAACAATTCTCTTCAGCTGTTTTATGTAAAATATAGAAAATAATGCCAAAAACCATGCACTACAAACTGGATATCATTGAGTGTCAAATTTATCAGTTCTGTTCTGAGACCACCTCCCCTCTGTAATCTGAAAATAGAACTATCCTCAGGACATTGGATTGTTTACTCTACTAATTTCTCATCTTCTAAAAACTGTTCTGAGAACAGATACGTTTTTTAATGTAACTGGGGCTTATAACATGTATAAATTGGAACAAACACATTTCACAGGTCTGACCTAGACATGATAATTAGACATAATGCTATCAAATAACTGAAATAAAGATAAACTTTCTACCATTATGTACATCCTTGCATGTTAATACTACATAATGAAATATATACATAATGTATAATTGAAATAGTAAATGACATTATTTACAACACATCCATAATGAACAAATTATTTTCCATTATGTAGAGAGAATGTAGTTTACAGAGTTTCCTGCTTTGCTACAGTTATATTTCATAGAAGGCATGTGAAAACTAAATCTCTTAGACCATGGATGAAGGACTGAACCTATTTTCAATACAAATGATTATCAAAGTATTGACCTGACTGTGTCTTCAGGATAGAATTCATTCATTGTTGGATTCAAAGAAAAACATGACAATTTTATGATTATGGTGTTTGATCAAAAATGCTGGGTTCAGGTTCACCTGGGTCAATAGTAATAAAAGCAAAAGTTGCTATTGAATGAAAATGCACATAACAATGTTTGTGGATCCAAAATGTTCATTCTGCTATAATGGCGTTAAATAGATAATGCTCATTTCTGGAAGTTTTTTTAGAGCTTTTAATAATGCATTTATGTTTTAAGGATTACACAGGATACAAGGCCTTGGGTGGTGGTGTGAGAGATTTTGAGTTATACATCAGTCATATAACAGTCTGTACATATTACATGAGATATTTTCAGCTTGTAAAATTTGTAGATACCTACACCACCAGGAGTAAGATGTATGGAAATACTTGTATAAATATTACTGTGTATGTAAGCTTAGTTGTATTTCCCTAATTAACAATAAATCATATGATAATAATAATAGGGGACTGTAATATTCTATCTTACATTTCACTATAATCATGTCCAGCTATTAATATTATATCACTGTTTTTACTGGAGGAGCAAATTTGATTTAAGAGAAACGGAGAAGACATTCGAACTACAAACTCTTGTAGAAGATATAGAAAAAACTATATGAATTGGTTGAAAGCACAAAGGGGTAATAAAATTTCACTATTTTGGCTTCTGTAGGATTGATTTATAATAAATACAAATATCCACAATTGATGTGTAAAATTTGAAATCATATGCGTTACATAGCTACATTTTTTAAGCTAAACTTATTTTCGAAGAGTATAATAGAGTCAATTTCTCTTGAAAATATTTACTCTTTCTTTTGTAAATTCTGAGCTTAACTTGTCTCTAGTGGAAATTTAGAGTGTTTTTTCATTAGGTTAACAATTCTGTAGGTGGACAAGGTGACCACAAAGGAAAAAATGATGAATTTCAGTTTAAATATCCATCCATAATGACTACATAATATGTTTTTTACATACAACTTTTAAATGAAAATATTTAAGTTATGTTTGTAGAATGCATGACCTTAGCGTGATGGAGTAAAATGAGTCAAACACATTGTTTTTTAAACCTTACATTAGCAGTGTTGAACTTTCAATTTTTTTTTAAATCCTCCCTTTTGCAATCAACTGCTTATTTATCTTTAAATATTATAGTAATATGAGGTGTTCATTCAATACACACTGTCTGTTTGTTATCTGTACAATTCAACCCGAGAAATAAATCTTGATATAATGATAAGAGATAATATAAAATCACAGGTATCTGAAGTTTCCCTAATGTTACCCATAGTCACATAGAGATGTTGAAATTTAAGAGAGATTTTAATGATACAAATCAGTTTCAGGCCGAGGAGCAATATTTATATATAGCAATAGGAAGAAATGCACACATACAATAAACGTTTGAAACAGGAATAATTCGCCTATGCCAACTAGAATATATAGAAATCTGCCATCTACAACACTACCGCCGTCCAAGTATCTTCAGATAATAGAAAAGTTAAATGACATATTACAAGATACTATTGTTGATGATAATGAAACAATATTTGAGTTGAATAAAGAAAATTAAGATGAAGTTGAGATAATATTGTTATGTATATATATTGTTATTGTTATCTATCTATATATTATTAATTGTGTATTACTCTTTCTAATATTACACAAGATATAAAATTCTATTAAATGCCATCAGTATGATTAAAATGATTAATATTATATCAAACAGCACATATATAAAAAACACATTTGGAATAATGGGTAATTTAGTATGTTGTATTTGCTGGGTATTTGAGTTTATCTGTGCTATGTGGTTTTGTATAAATGTATATGAGATTTGTGTCTTGTGATACATGATTCATGATATATAGTAATAGACATCAATTGTATCATCAAGAATCATAAATAGGATCTGTCCCTTGAAATATATCTTGCTAAATTTCCCTACACAGTTTTTATTGAAAGAATACAATTTGATCAAGTATATTCCTTGAAATATTATTATTTTCCCCTAGATAGTTCCTATTTTAATATAACATAAATGTAAAATATCCCACACGTCTGGGATTTCAAACTTATTCAGAGTTGCCAATACTTTGATGAAATTAAATCTTGTTGTAACTCAAGAAATTCAGATATACACAAATAATAATTTAGTTTTATTCCTCACCCAGTAGTAGTTCTGTTAAATTGAACCATATCACATTATTGGTTAAATTATCTTCTAAACCTACTAAATGTGACTGTACTGGCGGTATTTAACAGTTAAGTTATAGCTGTGCAGATCAAAATAAATTTTCTTATATTTTCATACATCTCTATGTAGTGGAATTTGTTATGCATTTTGGATCTATTTTGTGTATTTACCCTGTTAACATCAAGTGTTATAATGAAACGATGCAACCTGAAACTGCTACTCAAATACAATCTAGTATCAAAATACTTATTCTTGAATGGAATTGTCATTTCAGGGCTACAAACCATCCATTTTCTATCCCAAACAACCAAATAAACCAATCTTTAACAATCTAAGATTACAGTGTGAGAGAATGGATATGCCGTTTCTATCATTCTTCCCCTCACATCCAGAGTTGATTACAGACTCCTATAACCTGGTTATTGATGCTTTATTTGGATTTAGTTATAAAGGACCTACCCGTCCAGAATCAGCTGTAATATTAGATAAACTGAAAGCCATACAGAATATTGTACCTATTTGTAGTATTGATGTTCCCTCAGGTAATTATTTCTCTTTGAACACTTTTCACTTGAATTGAAATAAGGTACTAATAGCAGACAAATTTTATAGAACTTTTTAAAATATAATTGCATAACAGACTTATTTTAAGGCAGATCACCTGCAATCACGAATGTTTTTTGAAACATTGATGTTCAGACCATCCAAAAAACTCACCTAGAACAAGTTTGATTTTATTGCTATCATAAATGCTGGAAATATAGTTATTTCTTCACACAAATGGCTTAACTTAAATCACTGAAGTTTTTAGATTTGGTCAGAAGTTAGTTACAGTTGATAATGATTTTGATCTGTTTTAGTTGCCATATCTTTGGGATATTAAAAAATATCAAGTTCAAATAAAAACATGTAGGATTTATATGTCTTGGATAAGCAAAAATAAACCAATTTTGCCCTTAGTTATGAAAGTTTTTTATTGCTATATTCATTTATATTATCTATGTTTATTGTTTGCTTTATCTTCAGAATACAATATATTTTTGAAGGTTTTGTTCTGTTAAAATGTCTGGACTAATGTTCTTCAACATTAAATATTCTAAACATAAACATAATAACAAATCTTGGGAATAATAAGACTTAACTGTTTGGAACTGAATCCTTTCAATAGAAACAAACATTATGTTGTATTTTATTGAAGGTGACTGATGTTATCAGTGAAGTGTAAAATGAGGATTTAGAATCTGGAAGTAATAGCTCAGTCAGGTTAGAGTTAGGTTAACACTTGATTTGTCATCAGATCATCAGTAGATGTTATTTACAATGTAGTTCTGATTGAAATTGTGATCTGAGAATATAGTAGAGTAGATTTAACTTGAGGCTACAGACTATCACCAACCAAGATAACATATTTTAGATTGAATTAAACAATTACTCTAAATGTTATTACTCACATACCAAAATAGGTACTACTAACCGAGATATCAGCTTTACTTTAATTATGATATTGTCTGGGAATAGTCATTAAATAATAAACTTGTACTAAAATATCTTTTTGGTAATTAGAGTGGTTGTGTTAAATATAGATAACCTAATTATATTGTATAGATAAAATTAAACCTAGTAGTTCAAAATATATAAAACCTTAAAAATGCATTGCATTATCAAAAAAGAACATGAATCTGTGTCAATACAAAAATCTCAATGACATTCTTAGAGGTAAAAATATAGTGATATAGTAAAAAAAAGAAATTTTTTGACCGAAGACATTGGAAAACAAACATGTATTTATTCAGAATTTTCTATGTTGCAAATACTTAACAGCTAAATCAGGTGCAAATACTATTTGTGCTGAAAGATATAAATTTAAATTATTGTGTCAATAAAGCTAACCTTGTTTTAGGTCACTAATTGTGCTTGACACAAGTATTGTATATTATGTTGTTTTTGTCAAGATGAGAAAGTCCTCTCTTGATTTGATTCAGGTGTCTTTCCTTTTTTTCAAATAGATATTGGTGTGTATTTTAGGTTGGGATGTAGAAAATGGTGACCCTGAAGGCATTCAACCAGAGCTACTCATATCTCTTACAGCTCCGAAATTATGTGCAAAACTCTTCAAAGGCAAATACCATTATCTTGGTGGCAGATTTATACCTAAAACATTAGAGCAGCGCTATAGTCTCAACTTGCCGTCATATCCTGGTACAGACTGTGTTATTGAACTCAAAACTCAACCTGCTGAAGATGCAAAAGAATCTTGAATCATTTATAAATTTTTTGCTATCACTTTCTAAGTCATTAACTTTAAACGATTTCATAGTCATATGCTCATGATGCCATTTGTTGATTATGTTCCTATTATATTCTAATTATAGTAACACCTTTTAATGGTTGTCTGCAAATTTTTTATTGTATACTCACCAAATATTATGTATATAAATATAAATGTAGTTGAACCTGATTTTAGACAATCCTTTGTAGCAATTATTATTTTGATACATAACACTATATACCTACTCATCAATACATAGTCACATTTCAATTACTAGACTATAGTCTATTGTTGCAGTGCTTCTTGAAATATTCATGATGCCATGTTAACATTTGAAGGGAGATAACTACACAGCAGAGATAATTTCATGTGAATAACAGCTTGAAAACCATCAAGTTTTTTCAGTATTGGGCTTTTCTTTTTTCAAACATCAACAGTTTTCTAAATTTTTGTCAGCTATTATGACTTTAAAATTTTTTGTTTTTCGTTGTTGAAATGTACATATTTTTGTCTTAAATTGTTACATTGTATACTATAGACCTAGTGTTTGTTGATTACAATTGTTAGTTTGTTTACTGTTAAATCGCATTGTTTACATGTATTATCATTTTCTATTACTAACTGTTAACAAAATATAAATAAAATTTTCATCTTGCATATTCTAGTCTTTACTGAGTACAGGTTTTAGCATTATCAATGATTCATATACAGGTAATACTGTTACTTTAAAGTGATACTATGTCTTAGAATGAACATAAAATTTAAGTATTCAAGAATGGTCAATATGAGTATATATTCATCAGTGAACTTACTTGGTGTCATAAAGTTACAACAGAATCCCTATAAAATGTGGAAAATTCATAAAACTAAGTAATTATTGAAAAATGCTTAATCTTAGATAGTCTTGGATTTTATAAGGATCCTGCTATGTTATTTATGATACCAGGTATATATCTACTGATGAATATATGCTCTTATTCCTTTAAAGGAATACTACCTCTTAGGATCACCAAAAAATTTAAAATTTTATATTTTTTTTATGTTCTTAGATTATACAATTTGCTAGCAGTTGTTGATAATTCAGTTGCTTTCAGATTATACCAGTTGCTCTCAGATTATCCCATTTGCTAGCAATTGTTGATAATCCAGTTGCTCTCGGTTACACCAGTTGCTCTCAGATTATATCATTTGCTAGCAGTTGTTGATAATCCAGTTGCTCTCAGTTATACCAGTGGCTCTCAGATTATACCATTTGCTAGAAATTGTTGATAATCCAGTTGCTCTCAGATTATACCATTTGCTCTCAGATTATACCATTTGCTAGAAATTGTTGATAATCCAGTTGCTCTCAGTTATACCAGTGGCTCTCAGATTATACCATTTGCTAGAAATTGTTGATAATCCAGTTGCTCTCGGTTATACCAGTTACTCTCAGATTATACCATTTGCTAGCAGTTGTTGATAATCCAGTTTCTCTCGGATTATACCAGTTGCTCTCAGATAATACCATTTGCTAGCAATTGTTGATAATCCAGTTGCTCTCGGATTATACCAGTTACTCTCAGATTATAACATTTGCTAGCAGTTGTTGATTATCAAGTTTCTCACGGTTACGACAGTTGCTCTCAGATTATATCATTTGCTAGCAGTTGTTGATAATCCAGTTGCTCTCGGTTACACCATTTGCTCTCAGATGATATCATTTGCTAGCAGTTGTTGATAATCCAGTTGCTCTCGGTTATACCACTTGCTCTCAGATTATATCATTTGCTAGAAATTGTTGATAATCCAATTGCTCTCGGTTATACCAGTTGCTCTCAGATTATACCATTTTGATAATCCAGTAATACCAGCTGCTCTCATATTATACCATTTGCTAGCAATTGTTGATTATCAAGTTGCTCTTGGTTATACCAGTTGCTCTCATATTATACCATTTGCTAGCAGTTGTTGATTATCCAGTTGCTCTCGGTTACACCAGTGGCTCTCAGATTGTACGATTTGCTAGAAATTGTTGATAATCCAGTTGCTCTCGGATTATACCAGTTGCTCTCAGATTATACCATTACCATTTGCTAGCAATTGTTGATAATCCAGTTGCTCTCGCTTATACCAGTTGCTCTCAGATTATACCATTTTGATAATCCAGTTGCTCTCATATTATACCATTTGCTAGCAATTGTTGATTATCAAGTTACACCAGTTGCTCTCAGATTATATCATTTGCTAGCAATTGTTGATAATCCAGTTGCTCTCAAATTATACCAGTTATCATTATCAAGATTCCTTAACAGGTGAAATGTAGACACACTTTAATATTATAATGTATTAATTTTCAGAACATATAATTATATAAATATATCACACAATATCAAAATTTATATTTATAAATATCACACTTGCTTTATAATTAAAAATATACTTATATACACAAACATAACAAAAAGTAAGATATATTTCATAAATATACATGTAAAGCTCACAAATGTTTCTTATATACAGTTACCTTTAGAAAGTACTGAAAGGGAGATTTATTTTATGATGATCAATAAATTGAATTTTAAACTTGGTTAAAATAAGTCTTTTTTCATTAATTGAATTACCTGGTTTCATAGCTATACAACAGAATCCCTCTAGTCCAAATAATCCATAAAACTTAACTAATAATTCATTACACTACTTAAGTAATTTTGAACTGCTTAGAAGCGTGTTACAATAATTATTTAGTTTAATAAATAATTCGGCTTATATAGAGATTTTATTCTTTAGTCATGGCACCTGGTAAGTACAACTGATGAATATATTCTCTTGTTGACCATTCTAATAGGTAATATCCTTTTATATTGAATTGTTTCAAAGAAATAAAAATACCTGAAGTCCTTTTAAAAATGCAAATATGATTAAAATACTTTGGTAGGCTTAAATTTCATTGTTACAAAGAGTAAAATTAACTGTTTTTCATTTTCACTTCAAAAGTGTTTAGGTAAGCTGTTATCGGGTACTATATATAGAAAGGTCTTAACTATTCAAATGTACTCTAATAAATATATGATGTGTAATAATATATAATGATGGCACTGAGAGGGGTTTAGAGTAAGACAATCTTGTTAGTCTATATTACATATATGATGACAATAAACCCAATTTTATCCACAAAAATCAAAATTTGGAAAAATATTATTTCCTTCAAAGTATATTAATCAAACTTGATTATATCATATGGGAAATAAAAAAATTCTTATCCTCTGTTTTATGATTACAATTTTCGGAACAGAATATTGAATTTTAAGCTGTAACTGGAGGCTTAGATTTGGAGAATTTTAAAGCTCTACTTGTAGCTATTTCTTTCTGTCTTACTTCTTCATTCTTCTGTTGCTCTACTATTTCTTTCTTTCTTTCTTCCTCTTCCATTTCTAATTCTTCTTGTAATTCTTTTCTCCACTGGAATATAAATTGAAGCTGCTATTACTTGACCAACCAGATTGGTTTAAATATGTGCTTTATATACCAGCTAGGAGATCTGAATTTCAACTCTCTACAGCACTTAATTCTCCATTCTCCAACAATTCAAGGAATTAGCTATAGAAATTAAAGTTGTTGACACTTCCAAACTGTTCTATACATTCTCTCAGGCAGTTTTAACATCAAAATATATGTATGTGAGAAAATCAGTAACATTGAAAAAATCTAAAATTCCACGGTACATTTTTATTGAATTGCAGAACTCTTCATTGGATTTCAAATCAGGTAAGTGCTACAGAGAGCTGAACTCTTACATTACATTACATTTACATTCCAACAGTTCAAACCATGCAGAAAGTACATTTAATATCATTGTTGAATTAGGAACAAATGAACAAACCAAAAGGTGATTTTGTTACCAACTTATGGAAAGTTTTTCAGGTATATAAAACAATATAAATCAGCTGATTTCAGGATATACAGAAGACAATGAAATATGGTCATAGTTACCTGATCTTCAACAATTCTCCTTAAATCAAAACTAGTTCTAGTATTAAAATTTACTGGTTCTTCATATAAAGCTGTAGCTAACATTATTTCATCTCTATACAAAATAAATATTAATAAAATAAAACTCTTCAAAACATTGGCCATGGAAGAAAATATGATCATCAATCCCTTAGCAGACACCATACAATTTACTATTGACTGAGACAAGATTTGTTAAGCAAACTATGTATAATTTACTACCTTAGTAGTAGGACCCAAAATTCAATTAAAGCAGAAAATATGCTGAAAGTTGGGCTGTACTAATTTTGAGTGGAGAACAACAGATAAGACTGTAAACTTGGTAAAAGTTTAATTTGTAAAGATGAAACAGCCACTTACTTAAGAGAGGTTCTTAGTTTTTGTTTAGTTCTAGGTGTTGGTTTAGGTTGAGGTTGTTGTTTAGGTTTAGGTTTTTTAGGTTGTTGAAAGGTTATTGGTGGTGGTAATGGTGGAAGATAGATAGAGATTAAACTATTAGCTATACGACTACCAATAGTCGATGGATTAGAGTTCAATTCTATCTTTAATAAATCATCTATATTAGTATGTACCTAAAAACATACAAAATTTATCAGGTTATATCTTCTTGTTTTTAGAATTTTAGTTCAAAATATCTGAGTTTAGCATTCTTGCATGTTTATGTTTTGTTTCTCACCGGCCGCGTAATTATGTGGCTGGTAAACCACAGGGTTGAAAGGGTTACTAATAAAGGGTTAACAAAAAGTTCTGAACCTGTCCAACTTTCAAAGCTTCCAGTACTCTATGATCTTTCTCCAATGAATGTGCTTTTAGTAGAGTAGACCAGGCAGCATTCCTTAACCCTTCTCTATTAGTATCATTGGCTAAACATCTACATATTTTAACTAATGACTGTATAGCTCCATATCTTAATCTCCAACTCCAATCTTTGGGTCCTTTAATTGAAAAAGAAAATAGTACAGAAATCATATTTTTTTCTACAAATTTCATGAATTTGCATATTCTGTGAATTCTTTGCTTGACAACTATCAACGATTTCACAAGAACAACTGTGCAAAGTGAATCCAAGCTGACAATTACTTTCAACAACAGTAAAATATATAATATACAACTTTGAACTTTGTAAAATGTTTTAAAATGGCTGTCTTTCTTAATTTGATTCCTTACAAAATGAGTATAATACATTATTTAACCGACAGGCATTTAATTCACTGCTGTACGGTAAAAATGATGTCAAGTCTGCTTTACCATAAAATATATTTTACACATACCTCCGTCATGGTTTTCTACACTAGTATGAAAGAAAGCTAGATCTATTAATCCAGCACTAACTAGAGGTATAATACCATAACCACGTCTATAGGGTTCAGTTATATCTGTATTCAAACCAACTAGAGCCATTTTCTGTACATTAACATTGTAACCATGGATACATATATTAGCTAGGACCTCACAATAAGTAACAGCTACCTCCCAATGCCAACCATATATACCTGGGCTATCAGGAACCTGGAACAAAAAGTCAGATTAAGTTTCAGATATAGGCCTACTTTCCTTCATTGGCAAGTTTTATAGAACCCTATAATATATATTTGGACTGTTATATATATAAACTACTATTATGGATAAACTACTCCTCTATAATTTAAGCAACTTTTCAATTTGCATACAGGAATCTTTTTCAAGCAATGATTCAAGTTGCTTGATAAAGATTCCTGTATACGAATTGAAACGGTGCTTAAATTATAGAGGAGTAGTATATCCATAATAGTAGTTTGTTTATATAATGTTCTATCTACTTCTAAATCTCCTTCAAGGATTATATATTTGGACCCATTTACAAAAATTCCGATCTGACAAAGTTAAACATCTTTTCGGCTTTCACTTATCATCATTACAAGTATATCCTTAACAGTACAATATAGGGGTGTTTTTTCTTAAATGTGTGATACCTTTACAGTGACATATATTTGAAATATCTCAAGTATATCTAAAAGGAGTAAATATTAGAATATTGCTATAATAAATTTGAAAAGTTGTAGAATTACAATGGAGCTGACTGATTGTAACGAGTTGTAAAAGAAAGCAAATATAGTGAAACAATGTCTTTTAACCTCACAGACTATTAATCAAAGAATACCTAAATGAAAGTAAGAATTAGGCTGTACACTTACTGGTACATTAGTAAATGTACAAAATGAGTTAGCAGAAGATATTCTATCTTCATATGATGTACTAGGGTTATCGTGTTGTTTCTCTACATTCCCTTGATCACCATCTACGTTATTCTGATTGACATTGATACTGAAATACAAAGGAGATGGGCAAGTTTCATTTACATGCAATAATAAATCCAATATACAACACAGTGAATTTTTTCAAGGGCTATATTGAAAATATTAACAAATTCTGGTTGGGCATATATGGCACATGATTGTTAAACAATCTTACCTCAAAGACAAGCCTTGGTCACAGACAGACTCCTTGACAACCTTAGGAAATTGTCTTTAAGTGTACTAGTTTCATTCTAATTTTTTATACCACTTAATCAATTTTTTAATTTTTAAATAATCTTACAAACAATGCCTGTCTTTTACTCACCTAGTTTTGTTGGCAGGTTGAGAATCAAAAGAAACTTCTCTCTTCTGTACATTTCTTGGTGCTCTTATTTCTTTTAAAGCTGGTAATGGACTATCTTCTGTTAAACTTAGATCTAATGGTGGTACTGGACTACTGCCTGTATTTTTACTGTGAGATTGAGATGATGATTGATAGCCTTCTTCACTTTTCTCATTGATATCACTTAATGATGGTCTGGAACTCTGGTCTAGACTTTGTTTTGCAGACGTCATTTTATTTTCTTCTATGTCTACTACTTCATCAGAAAATGTGAAATCTGAAAAAAAGAGACACAGCTGAAATTTTTGTGATCGGCTATAAGGAAACCTGGAAAATACTGGAAAAGTCAAGAACAGTAAAGGATCAACAAATCCACAGAATCTTATAAACTTGCAGAAGACAATCCAACAAGCTGCAACTTATATTGATTCATTTTTCATAAAAACAGACTCTTGCAGTCACAAACAAGATCATGTTATAACATGCAAATCACAGCATATATCTTTTGTTGCTGAATGGACAGTGACAGATGGTAAAATTATGTCGAGAAACATACCTGTAACAGAACTCTGTGAATGAGAACTCAGCGCAGGTGATTCTATTCTATCAGTGATTTTTACACCTTGAGCTAAACAATGTAATGCTTTCATAGCATGAATATCACTTCTAGCGGCATCACCTAATACATGTAGAGCTATTGTACCATCAACCCTAAAAACATAAATAAAGAGCTATCATACAATCAACTCTGAAAACATAAATAAAAAGAAACTAAAATACAATAAACCCATTTATAAATGAATGGCTATAGTACCATCAACCCTGAAAACATAAAAAAAGAGCTATAGTACCATCAATGCAGAAAATATAAATAAAGAGCTATGGTACCATCAAACCTGAAAACATAAATAAAGAGCTATCATATAAACAGCTCTGAAAACATAAATAAAGAGCTATCATACCATCAACCCTGAAAACAGAAATGAAGAGCTGAAGCACCATCAATCCTGAAAAACATAAATAAAGAGCTATAGTACAGACAACCAAAAAAATATATATGAAAAGTCAACAATTCTAAAACATACTTGTTGATTGCTATCAGTATTAGTCCATGAAATTCAACTTACCAATTTTCTGTAGCCAGACCTAATCCACAATGAGCTAAAGCTACCAAAGCATCAGCAGTACCACCTGACAACTGATTGGTACATCTCCATACATCTAATGAATGCCATAATGTGGGACTTAAATCATGGACACTACTACTAATAGCTGCACTGTGGGCAGTAGAAGCTTCTGATCTCTTATCATACAGCTGTTTTGTTGCCTGAAATAAGCAGATCATAATGCTCATTTCAAGTAAAAAGAGTCGAGGATTCAAATCACAAAATATTTTCCAATAATGTTTGATCAAGAGATGTCTTTAACAATAAACAATTGATAAAAAACCTATATAAATACAATTCTTTTCACTAAATGTAACTACATAGGATTTGATACTTGACTGACTTGATTAAAGCAAAATAATTCAAGAAAGTATAAAATTGATTCCTTGTTTTTATATATATGCTGGTTTATTTTATTACATCTGGTTCTAAGGCAAATTTGACCTCAAAGCACTTAATAACATACTCCAAAAAAGCTTGTTCTTTATCCTTTGGCCAATTGTTTAAGATAATTTTAGTAACTGAAGTCAACCGATCAAACTTACATGGGTTAATTCTTCCACTTTTCTGCCAGGTGGTAACCTTCCTCCTTTACCGAACTCAGCTTCATTGATAGTGGCATCAGCTAGGATAATTTTACCTACCTCTATTATGAATCTTAATGATAATAAAGCATTAGGATAAGGATTGTATGCTTCTTGACATTCTGATAAACCTACAAAATAACAGTTGTCTTGATTAGACTTTTTATCAGCCATGATAGCTTTAAATAGAAACATAAACTTTTCTTAGCATCTGTATTTTATAGAAATCATTTTTTTATATATAAAATACAATGACTCTTCTATGTTACTTTAAAAAAAAAAAAATTCAAAACTTTGGAACAAAAGTTTTCACCCTGATCACGTCAAAACCATAACATTGCTCTATCCATTTGTAAAATAACAAGGTACACTTTTCAACTAAATCAAAGGATCTGAATAATGACAAGGTACATAATGTAGCTTTTTTCCGGTTTAGAGTAATTTTTCCAGAAAGTAAAAATATGACCTATACTTACCATCAAGATAGGTAAAAAGTCTATTTTTAAATTCTGAATGACCTTGAAGTTGACCTGCCATATGATTGTAGAATAAACGGGTAAAAACCAATTGACCCATCTACAATATAAAACAGAAATTTCTCTACAACAGGAAAACAAATTATGATTCAATAAGTCCTGAAGAAAATACAAACACATCAATTCAACAGCTGAATAAATTCATCTGAAGAGGAAATTGGAGGCACAATGATCTACAAAAAACATGAATGAACATTTGGCCCATGGGTCAAGTTGAACTATCTTGATATGTGGAGTAGGCCCTGTGATTTCATATCCATTTATGGTTAATTGTTGAATACACTTTTCAAGTGCAGTGCATTTGAAGGTAACTTATTTATTAGGAGGGGGAATGATCTCACTGAGGTTGAGAACTACTGGCTTATAAAATCATTTATTAGACGCGTTATATATTAATCATTATAAAATTTTAAGAAAAAAATAATTTTGATAAACCAAACTGAAATTTTTATGACAGGTTCGTCAAGAATCTTTATAAGTGTTAAAAGTATGAATGATCTTATAAGTTTCAATAGATCATTATCTATCTGATTGTTACTTTAGATATATAGGGGACAGGTTGGAGATTTTTTTTCACCAATCACACTTCAGTCACAGAGACGGGAATTTTTTAGCTATGCCAATCAGTAATAGCATTCACAGCTTACTGCAGAAATTTTAGCCTTCAAATACATGTGTGTCCAGAATTATCTGTGATTGAATGTTAAAATGATGATTCTTCAAAATAAAATATTCTGTGAAAATCATATTTATCCCTTAAAGTACCATTACCTTCAATAATTTGATTTCTGTAGTTCTTAGATAAGGTTGGTGTATGGACTCGGTACGTAACCAATATAACATAGTTTCAGCCAGAAAAAATAGAGCTGGTATATGATATCTTTCTAATGGTGATATCTCTAATGATGTAATTAATACATCCAGACATTCTAAGAAAAACAATGAAAGGTGAATATATACTTTTTGTCATCACGTATTATACAAAATTATTTTTAGCATTAGTGATCAATTTTCAAAAATTTCATGTTGACTGTGTACATTCTTATTTGTAGTTTAAACATTGGAGATACAGAAACAGACCACTAAAAGTGCTTATTGTGAATCAATTCTCTATATAATATAAATTTTGCTGAAAATTATTACCAGGAAAAATTAACAATTGTAAATTAAGCTTACCTTCTTGTTGCTTTCCCTTACATTGTGCTAATTGAGCTAACTCTGTCCAGGCCATTGGTAAATTAACATGTTTTCCTGTACCACCATCACGTACTCCTGCCCTTCGCTAATATATAATAGAAAAAGTTGAAATCATTTGTTACGTTATATGTACATAACAATGATACTATATATAATCTTTGTAAGACATATAGAAGCAGGAAGGTAAATATTAAGAACACCAGTTATATGGATATACTACTTCTAGTTTTATTACATACTACGTTTAGAAAAATTTTACTTGATAACGTTACCTTTATGTGTTTCCAAACGTAGTATGTAATAAAACTAGAAGTAATATATCCATATAACTTGTGTTTTTAATGATACTATATAATGGATACTTTCCAATACATTTCTAAAGCTAAGATTACATATATGTGTCATGCGGACATAAATGGCCCTTGCGGATCCGTCATGCGTCAAATATGATTCCATATGTGCGTTAAACGTATGCGTTATCTTTCTTTTGACACACAGACTTCTAGACAGATGGATGCTTTGGTGCATAAATTTATGCTAGAGCAAGATGCAGTTTTTATTGCCAGGCTTGCTATGGAATGGTTGAAAATGAAAATGAAGAAGAAGAAAAAAAGGAAGCTTCCAGATGTGTCAAAAAAAGCTACACCTGGCAATTTTACGTATGATGGAGACCATTTTCAAGAGCAAGGGCAGTAACTCATACTAAATATTTTTAAATTCTTCTGATTTTCAATAGGGTTCATCCTTGGGTGATTACGAACACTTGAGTGATTACGAGCTAAAAAACTTGTTTTCAAGAGCAAGGGCAATAATTCATACTAAATATTTTTCGATTTTTCTGATTTTCAATAGGGTTCATCCTTGGGTGATTACGAACACTTGAGTGATTACGAGCTAAAAAACTTGTTTTCAAGAGCAAGGGCAATAATTCATACTAAATATTTTTCGATTTTTAAATTCTTCTGATTTTCAATAGGGTTCATCCTTGGGTGATTACGAACACTTGAGTGATTACGAGTTAAAAAACTTGTTTTCAAGAGCAAGGGCAATAATTCATACTAAATATTTTTCGATTTTTAAATTCTTCTGATTTTCAATAGGGTTCATCCTTGGGTGATTACGAACACTTGAGTGATTACGAGCTAAAAAACTTGTTTTCAAGAGCAAGGGCAATAATTCATACTAAATATTTTTAAATTCTTCTGATTTTCAATAGGGTTCATCCTTGGGTGATTACGAACACTTGAGTGATTACGAGCTAAAAAACTTGTTTTCAAGAGCAAGGGCAATAATTCATACTAAATATTTTTCGATTTTTCTGATTTTCAATAGGGTTTATCCTTGGGTGATTACAAACACTCATACCAAGTTTTGTCAAAATCTGTCAAGAATTATCCCTTCTAGAGTGTTTACAAACTAAAAATTGAATGTGTTTTCAAGAACAAGGGCAATAACTCATACTAAATATTTTTCGATTCTTCTGATTTTCAATAGTGTTCATCCTTGGGTGATTATAAACACTCATACCAAGTTTCGTTAAAATCCATCAAGAATTGTCCCTTCTAGAGTTTTTACGAGCTAAAAATTGAATGCGTTTTCAAGAACAAGGGCAATGACTAATACTTAATATTTTTTTGATGCTTCTGATTTTCAATAGGGTTCATCCTTGGGTGATTATGAACACTCATACCAAGTTTTGTCATGAATTGTGTCTTGTAGAATGTTTACGAACAATTGTGGACAGACGGACCGACGGACGGACATGGGTGACGGCAACATACGCCCCCTATTTCATGTGGGCATATAAAAAGCTGCTTTTAATAGAAAAATTGTAAAGAAATAAGCTTTCTTATCTCTTACCATACCTTGGACCTTTCAAGCATTTTTCTAGCTACATCTTCAAATTTTTCTTTTTCATTCAGATTCTTTGCATTATTAAAATGTTGAACAAATTCATCACAAACTTCTAAAGGATTCCTTGAAAAAATTAAGAAAAATGTTTGAAATTGATTTTGTTTAGTTAGCATAATTGTGTCAAAGACAAATATACAATATAAAACAAAATCCTTATAAATCTAAGCAGGTGTAATGAAGGCCTAAAGACAATTTACCTTGAAGCTACTATAGCACCTTTCTTGGAGTGGATTCCTTGAATTGTAGATTGTTTAAGTAACCTATCTTGTAATTCCAACCGTTGTGCATGTGAAATGATTCCAAATTTATGGACAACAGGCAACCTTGTAACTGGCATCTTTTTTACCTATGGGACTACTGTAATACAAAATAATAGTACACCATATTTCAAATTAGAATTAAATGAAGTACCGGTAGTTGCTTTCCTGATACCTTTTAAATAATTGACATAACTTCACCAAAAGCCATTTCTGTAGACGGATGCCAAAAATGTTTTGCTTTCAATGTTGACACAAATTAATTTGTCGGTCAACAATCTTTAATACTTTTTTGGCTTCCTTCTACAGAAATGGCTTTTGGTAATGTTATGTAGGAAAGCATGAACTACGTAAACACAATGGAAGTGCAGCAAGCTTCATTTCCAGTTCGTTCAATTGCTCTGATGGCAGGGGCTTTGTAGGCCTACCTTGTTTTAGACCTTATTCAAGCCTCGTTTTTCAGATACCGGTACTGAAAACAAAGTTCGCCCTGTCTCAGAAATATGTGAAACTTGAAAGTAATATTATTAAGCTAGTACTAGTAGGACTGGAGAAGGAGGCTTTAAAGACGTCAAGGTGGCAGTGACACAACATTACCGTGTTTGCGTTGTTCTGGATTCAATATGAACGACGAATGATTATGTTTTATAGCATAACTTAGATACAGTGCCTGTGGCTAGGTCTTGTGAATAACACAAAAATCCACTAGTCTACATAGTAAGAAACCTACATATTTTATGATATAAAAATGATTGTATTTTGATTTCAAAACGTTCACTAAGAGAACACAGTACTAGTGAAAACGTTTAGCCAAAAATCAACAATTAAATATGGAAATAAACGCACCACAAAAAGTTTAAATCACTTATATCAATGAATATCAGTTTTGTTTACATCTTCGGCAGCCATTACGTTTCGTTTCTACGGTGGATTCCTTAAAATTGTTACTTAAGAGTTTTAAACTGAAACGAAGTAAGCTCTTTTCATTTATTTTGAATTAGAAGTAATATTCTCATTACTATTTTGATATGTTACACTATTTTACACAAAAAGAGAGTAAATATGCTATTTAACCTGTGGTATCTGTACTATTTTTACTTTTCGTGTCATATACTGGTGGGATATCTATTAACCTTCACCTTGATGAATGACCCTTTGGGGTTTCCATATTCCAAGAGCGGCAACAGGAAATTATGAAAAAATAAAAATAGGAAATCGTTACTTACAATGTCCACACGATCTAAGGTGGTTTATATTAATCAGTTGAAATCATTTATTAAAATCCTTAGGTTTTGGTGAATTCAAAGAGTTTTGTTCCTTTTGAGATCTATAGTGGTTAGATAAATGAGACTTGAAATTAAATGCAAAAGTAAGAAAAGTCACCTCCTTCCCTTGACTGCTAGGTCTAGTCAGGTGTCTACAGGCATACATTTCAATACATACCAGTTGATATGTTATGAAGCTATGTAGTATGTAAATGTAATGTTAAGCTAAAGTTACTTGTATATATCATATATGGTAACTGGATTCTATATAGGGATGCTATATGAACCATGTGGCATCATCTGGTCTTCTAGAAGAAGGGTAATTTACATGCCCTGCTTCACTCGCAAACTTGTCAATCTAACAATATCTGTTCACAATATCTGTTTCTTTTTTCATTGGAAGGACTAATTTAATAAAAATCAGGCAACTATTATTTTGAGTAGAAAGGGCGCAGATAGATAAGACATTATAAAATATTTTTGAACATTTTACTTCTATGCTGTAGGTTCTGAAAGTATTTAAAGATTTACATCGGACTCGGAAGAAAGTTTTCCATGGTGATTCATTTGCATTAACAGGTAATTTTTAATATTATTCAACATTCTTGAAATATTTATACAGGCGAAATGACTAGCACATTGCATTTTAATCTTTAAATTATTCATGAAGAGTGTCTTTGTGAATATGATTGAAAATTAACTGATCCTTGCCCAATTTCAGCTGCTCGTGATAAAATAAATACAGAATTTAAAACCAATAAAGATGTTGCTGATAGTGCTAAAATCGAAGAGGTAATATTTTGTAATTTTGTGTGTAATGTTATTTTGAGGCATATCGTCAAAAAGGCAATGTTTTACAATATCATGCTCATATTGTTTTAAGAAAGTTTTGTTCTTTTAAATGGCCAAGAATATAATTATTATCTCCTATATCAAAGTCATAAAACTGCTTTGTAGAGTGAAACATGATAGTATTTTACATTCCTATCTTTATTTCATATTCCAGAAAAATGATATTTGATATTTTTTTGGTTTGTGTATTTTTAGTTGTTAACTGTAGGAAGAGATTGTGAGATTTTATTAAGGAAAACAGTAATTCAGGCGGTAAAGAAACCAAATAAGGATACTTATGGTAAATAGTATTAAGATATGCTATGTTCAGACAAAGTTTTAATGCACATTTAAGGCACTTCCAGACATAACATAAGAGAAATGAATAGAAGTTCTGAATGATAAATGATGTATGAAATCTGAAGTCAATGCTTTTAAAATTTTCTATTCCAAAAGCATTTTCACCAATGGATATTTGCTATATTTTTTGGTTAAAATGTTACTTTTATTTCAGAAGTAAACATTACCAAGGAAACATCATTATTGAAAAACACAATGTTTGATCCAAACGCAAAAATACCTCCTCCCAGGCGTAGAACTAAAAAGAGTACTGATGATGCTACTTGAATACAGTGTTATACTTGTGTTGAGGCAGTGCAAACTTAAAGACTTGTTGACTCTTATCTGGTTATTGTGAGCAATGACAGCAAGACAATTTGTTTGATAGAACTTGTCTTTCCATTCAACTGTAGGGTAGCTTGCTGGGGTCTTGCATTACAGTCTAAATAAATGTCAGCAAGTACTAATACTCTGGATAACATTAGATAAATTACATGAGATCGTTTTATTTACATATTATTTCAAGTGAATGTGTGAGAAATGAATTTTAGTTTGTATTGAATAAGAAAATATATTTGTAGTTACATATGGTATTAGTATATAGTTCCCTTCCTCTCTGGTCTTAGTACTGCTATTAATACCTCAGCAAAACTTTATTTGCCATTACAACCCTCGGTCAGCCAGTGCATCAATTGACATTATTCAAATGACATTAAAATACAGATCAGAATGGTTAAGGAAGTTCATAGAAACTCTTTTGTAAAGAACTGGCCGAGGTCACAAATACAGAGAAATAAGAAATAGAATGGATTGGACATAGGGCTTAGTGTTGAACGAGTTAATAGACACAAACACACATTTTTACACACAAATATCACAAATAAGTTTTAGATTTTGATTTAAAATTCTCATCATTTGGTCACTGAAAAATTAAACAGACTATTATTTCATTTCGTGGCATTTACTTAATCAATAAACAAAACTGAAGGCAGGTTCACTCTGGAACACCTGAAGTCACTTGAGCCTGTGTTTAACTTGATGTATTTATTGAAAAGTCCTCAAAGCTAATAATGTTCACTTGATATTATTTTGACACAGACCATGCTTGTATATATATTATTATCTCCCTTTGACCAGTACAGTTTGAGCATACACCCAGTCATATAAAGGCTATTAAAACTGTACCAAATAAAACAATTGGGTATTTCCAAAATTCGTGGATTTAAATTATAAAGCATATTACTATGTTTTACAATATAGAAATATTTCAACAGAAACTAAAACCACACATTGTTGTTAGCTCTATAGGTTCTGTTTTAATATTTCTATACAGCTCTACAATTGATGTATTGGGCACATTTTAAACAGTGAAAATATTTTATTCTTTTACATCAATTAATCACCGACCTTTGCATTGGCTGAATAGACTTCTTTAAATTCAATAATTTCAAGAAAATTAAAATTATAACCTTAATTTGCGTGTCATTGCCTTTAGAGCGTCTTCGGGTGAAAATGACAATTTCTGATTGTATTTGGATAATCTAAGACCTTGATTATCTAAAAAGTTGATTGCAAATTGTTAAATTATTTGAATTATGCGATTCTGACAACAAATTAGTTGGACGGTGGACGGTATATTAGTCCACGCTTAACATGAATTAACTTCACGTTTAATTTAATGTGATTATGGACGTTGGATTGTTTCTTAGCAATTTTTGTAAATAGTTGTGCGAATATAATAAATAAGCACTTCTTTGACCCCTAAACCATTCCAGTGAGAATAGCAAAATTAGGATAAACACTTGTGTATCACAATATGATACACTGTAATAACCTTGAACTTTAGGAGTGTTGAAAAATTTTAAGAGGCAATAACTTGAGTCGTCCAGAAGCGAAAATACATAACAGGTTAGTTATGAGAGTTTTGCAAACTCTTCGAGAGAAACACTTGTTATTGGCACCTTTAGGAGATCCACAAGTATTCAGTTTAATTTACGGGATGTACTGTTTTCACCCGATGTTGGGTGAGATTTTCGGCTAATGGATATGTTATGTCTGTGCCCGAATTGCCTTTTTTTGGTTGTGTAAAAAAAAACTTCTAAACTCTACTTTCGGGCTACGATATGTAAAATATAATCATACGAATGACATTCGGGCAGTGATTTCGATTCTTAAATAATATGAATTATGAAATTTTATTATAGGAGAATATCGGGCTATCAATTTAAAAAATACAGTTATAGTTAAGGATATTTCATAAAATAAAATCGGGCAGTTCAAAAAAAAAAATTTTATAATGCCTTGCCCGAAAAACTAGCCTTCGGGGCTGCGAGAGGGGCTGACACCAATCCCCCCCCCCCCCTCCCCCTGTGGCTCCGCCACTGGTTACGGACGCTCAAAGTCGGGGTTGTCGCGAAAATGGCTTAATTTGAACCAGTTTTTCTCCTCTAGTTTCCCACCAAAACGCTCGAAACAAGTTTGAATCGAATTTCCGGCATCTCTGGGACCCCCAAGTTCCAATTTAGCCAAAACAGATAAACAAATTTTTTGAGAAATTTCCTGACCAAAATGATTAAAGACGGCCGCCGACTTGAGACAATTAAGCGGGGTGAAACTTTGAACAACAGCAACCGTAGGAAGAGGAATGGTACAAATTGATCTAGATGTTACAGTGCCCTCGATACACATTAAAAAGTTAGAAAACCTCCTCACAATCCTTTGAAGTTGATAGATATTAAATAAATTTATAAAAATATAATATTATTTAGATAATATTTTCATTTCATGATAATTTTTGTTTGTTTGGGTCATTTCCAAATGCAATTTTGGGGAGTGGAGTGTGATTGTTCCATCGCAATAATATTTCCGCTACATTGACTTCTACCACTTCACACAATGATGAAATGTGAGAGAATCTAAAGTTTTGGTTTCAAGTTTCGGGTGAGAGATTTTAGAATTCTCGAAGGTCATAGACTATAATGTTAGATAAGATCATTGAGAATTAAATGAAAACGTCAGTAACAAAATAATATAAGCTGAAGTAATAAAGCATCATTTTATTATAAACTAATACTGGGTAGCCTAAGCATTTTGACGTCGATTTTTCCAGAAAAGGTTCTCTTTTCAGATGTCAAATATTTTGATTTTTTGATATTGTTTTTTGTAATATATCTTCTATTTACGACCACACTCGTGGATTTTAATGAAAATGTTCAAAGTATTTTATGATTGGAAATGACCATGATTCTAGCACCTCAAATGCTGTTGTAGCCTATGGCATTTTTAACTTCATTTCATGACCCTTTCAATCTGTGATATAATATCTTGTTCTTTGTATGGTTTATTTCTGCGTTTCCTATCTATTGCGCTTTTCACATGTTCTTGTATATCATGTAGTATAGCAGCATACTCTGCGCTACGACTTCTCATGGCTTGCGCTTTTCTTAATGCATTCTTCTGCCCATTCTTCAACTCACTGAAACAAAAATATAATGTAGTAATGCCGAGTTTCGATCACAAGTAAGTTGAAATGTCACTTTATTTAGTTTAAGGATGATGATACTAGGATCAGAAGAGTTTTATCACAGGGAAATGCTTACGAGTGATGTTCTGTTAAATATGAACTCGACAACTACTTTCAATACAAATTTAGATAGCTGATACTTATTTCATCATTTGAATGATTTCGAGTAAAGAAACTAACAAGAGTAAACTAACGAGTGATAGTGTACGCTACCACACCTGATTATTTGTTGATCCTAGACGCCAATAAATTCGTGGGTACACAGAACTTTCATCATTGCCATTCCAACGCCTCTGCCCTCGCCTGTGAGTTGGCTGTCGCTACGCCTGATAGTACTATATGTACGTACATAACATTAATGTCAATAGATATACATGTCAAACCTACCTTAAATCTATCTCATTACTATGATCTTTATCTAATCTTTTCATTAATATATGTAAAGATCCTTCTGACAGAGGTAGATTCATAGCCTATAACATAAGATGATATATATTATAGATTTTTTCACCACAAAATAGAAATAAATGAAACGTTATGTTGGACGATGTGGGAAACTTGCAAGGTTGGTTATGCCAATACAAAAAGTGGCATCTTTTTTATCAGAGTTACAAGTCGGAATACAGCGTTGAAAATCCGAAGGTATTATTCTAAAATAAGCATGCGTTGAGCAATTTTCATACATTAGCGATCAACTATACTGAATATAATAGTATCACGTGAAATAAATTAACTCGCAGTTGGTTATTCATTCCGATTGTAATCCAGTCAAAAATCCTACACATTAGCTTGTGGTAGGTATTTTTCATTTGTCAGATTGACAGATTACGTGTACTACCTACCTGAAAAGCCTGAATGAGCTCCTGTCTTGTGATACTACCACTATTATCAGTATCAATCACACGGAATAGATCAGTTAGTCTTAACTTCTTCTGTCTCATAAATTCAAATAATACCATACATGGATCATAGGAATCCAGAGCAGATTCAGCCTTGAGTGTACCAGTTTGATGTAAGTGATCGCCATGAAGCACTTGTATTGGTCTATCATTATGTAACTCGGCTAAACATTTCATAAATTCACTGTTAACTGGAATCTCCTACAAAATATAACGACATGTTAGTCTGATGAGGTTGGTTAACTGTATACTATAACCCTTTCCTTTAATATCTATTATTACCATTTATTGTCCGACATTTAAGGGATATTCTGGCCTTATCCAACTCTACTCATGCAAGCCCTACAGTGGATAATATGCCTAAAGTCATCTTCACCAGAACGAAAATGATATGTAACAGAGATATTTTGAAAAGATATATGTTAAAGCTCAAATTGAGCTTTTTTTTTACATATAGATATGATCTGTTCTTGGTCACCAACATGGAATTTTTCGTAATATAGTAGTACATAAAACTTACAGTTAGATCGATTTCATTGATAGCACAGTCCGGGGATTTCTTGATGGCACATAAAATACCTATTGCTCCTTTCGTTGTAAATGGGTTTAGTGAAAGCTGCAATGTAAAAAAAATGTGGTACTCAAGAGGCAATGGGATACATGATCAGCACTTATTCAAGGATACTGTAAGGTATCTGTCGATCGGAAATGTTTTCAAAATTTCCAAGGAAGAGATACACTACCACTTATCGACGTACGGACCAGGCAAAGGATCAGGGCTAGATAATGCTTGTTTTAATTGGGCGCATCGTCAATTTGTAATGTTTTGGAACGTGTTGAAGATAGGATGCACAGACAATAGCCTATATAGCTGAAAAGGACAAAGAAGTAAAGATATAATATGTACCTTGATTTTTTTCAGGGTTTCATTTTGAACTAAACCATTAGCCAGTGGTTTAAGAGATGTATAATCTATTCGATTACAAGTCAAGTCTAGTTGTTTTAGAATCCTGTTTTCCATCAAACAGTTTCCTAAAGCTTTGCTACCCTCTTTAGCAAGACCATTCCAGGATAAATTAACATATTCCAGGCCTGTATTTTGCTGGAAAAAAATGGTTTAAGAGATGTATAATCTATTCGATTACAAGTCAAGTCTAGTTGTTTTAGAATCCTGTTTTCCATCAAACAGTTTCCTAAAGCTTTGCTACCCTCTTTAGCAAGACCATTCCAGGATAAATTAACATATTCCAGGCCTGTATTTTGCTGGAAAAAAATACAGTTGTGTCTCGCATAATAAGTGTAAATAAGCAAAAAAAATTGGATTAATAAAACAACTCCCAGCCTCACCTTCTCCTCTTTCGAATAGATAGGAAAGGGAACCTTTTTTTGTTCTCTGTAACTTATTTGCAATTTTTCAAACAAATATTTGTTATCTCAGTAACATAGAATTGCCTCCCTATCAAAAAAATATTTGTTATCTCAGTAACTTGGAATTGCCTCCCTATCAAAAAATATTTGTTATCTCAGTAACTTGGAATTGCCTCCCTATCAAAAAATATTTGTTATCTCAGTAAAGTAAAATTGCCTCCCTATCAAAAAAATATTTGTTATCTCAGTAATATAGAATAACCTCCTTATCAAAGCAATATTTGTTATCTCAGAAACACAGAATTAACTCCCTATCAGAAAATTATTTGTTATCTCAGTAACATAGAATTGCCTCCCTTTCGAAAAAAATATTTGTTATCTCAGTAACATCGAATTGCCTCCCTATCAAAAAAATATTTGTTATCTCAGTAATATAGAATAACCTCCCTATCAAAACAATATTTGTTATCTCAGAAACACAGAATTAACTCCCTATCAGAAAATTATTTGTTATCTCAGTAACATAGAATTGCCTCCCTTTCGAAAAAAATATTTGTTATCTCAGTAACATCGAATTGCCTCCCTATCAAAAAAATATTTGTTATCTCAGTATCATAAAATTGCCCCCTATCAACAAATGTTTGTTATCTCGGTAACATAGAATTACCTCCCTCAGAAATGAGGAATAATTCCCCTTTCTATAAACTGCTATCTTTAAAACAAGAATATCGAATGCTAATAACAAACTTACTGCCAAACCATCACAGAATGCTACTGCTCCTCGTTTCCTGATACCATTCCAACTTACATCTAACGACTTCAGATAAACATTTTCCGCTGAAAAAATAGAGACCAAAATCAAAAACTAGACCACAAGCCATGTAACTATTTTTTACATTCTAATCATAGACTATATATCATTCGTCGGCTGAAACATTTCCTTATAAAATGAATGTTCACTTCCATTCAGATGAAGCTCGCTAACCTGAATTTCCAGGTTCAATCCCGGCATAGGCCGAGATAATACTTTTTTTTTCAACCCGGTTTCCCCCTGTCAGTGATGCAGGTAAGAGGTGCTGACATGGAAAAAGCGTCTAGTCGTTCGGATGGGACAATAAACCGAGGCCCCGTGTGCTACGGTCTGTGCACGTTACAGATCCCTCGACAGTTGGAAATCGAAAATAAGCAGGCAAATGCCGCTGTTCTGGCAAAATTTCCCTCATGGCACCCTGCAAGGCGTTGCCCGTCTTCATTAGCCCACAAGGTGCAGAAAAGTAGGACCTAAAACTCTATTCATTTCATTGTCATATGCATGCAGTTGAAGATCAATACTTACCTATTGCAGATGCTAGAATTATCGCCCCTGCTTCATCAATATCACAATAACTAAGTATCAATTCATAAATTGTTTTATTTTTCTGGAAAACGACGTATAGAAAATGATATAATGGAAAAATAACATAACATTATAAAACAAGGCGAATTCACAAAACAAGTGTCTCATAATTAATCTGTAATTAAATAACTGGCTCTGTATAAATCTTCGATGGGCCTACATAAGCATGTCTTTACAAAACACAGTGGAATCGGCAACGGATTTGATTTCTGTTACGTTTATCTTTCATGTTTTTTGATTGTTATATGAAATAGTGGCGTTTCTACTGGGGCCAATAGGTATTTGTGAGGGTGTAGGAGGGTGAGGGTGTGTGTGTATGTGTTTAGGGTCACCTATTTGAAACCATTCGTCCATAAATATTAAGAGTGTGGAAGAACAGTATATATGGGTGGTGAACTAACCTTCAGTAGATCAGCCAACTGTTTCATATTAGACGTTGATAACTTGTTACCTACAAATAAAGTGGAAGTTTTCAGAGATATGAAATGTTCGTGTAACAGCGGTGTGAGACGTGTATCACATCTAACCGTTGCTTTTACAATCCAACGAATTCTCCTTAATAACCTCACTTTACAGACCCTTACGTCACCATCCAATGTCAATCTGCAATCTCTGTACTTTTGGAGTAATGGATAGTGATAAATTTCGTGTCATTCGGACAGTGCAGTGGTGTAACCTATTTTCGCGCATATAAGGAATCAAGACCGAATTTCGACAAAGTTAAAAAAACAGAATTTTTTTTTTATGTCTTAGTTGTTACCTCAGATATTCTAAAAAATAATTGAAATGGTTTGTTTCGATTTTCTTTATGAATCCTTCACTTTGACCCATATTTCATAAGCAACCAACTCGGCAACGGCGGCAGAATGTGTCACCTATTTTCGTGTACAATGTTTGATCTATAAATAAGTCTAGAAAAACACGTTGTATGGATACCGGGTGGTATAATTAACTTCTCTTAGTATTTATCTTTAATCTCAATTCATTATAACTAGTGACAATTCCTTAAAAGAACCATGACTTAAAAAAAAAATAGTGACTGACAAAATAAGATACGTAGCGTGATTTATTGCTAAAAGTCACTGAAACAACATAAGAATATGGCCCACATAGACTTTTTCTGCTGACATGGAATCCGCTAGCTGATCACGTGAATTCATTCGTTGGACTACATTCTAGCAGACGACACTTGGAATTGCGATTACCACTTGGGATTATAAGGAAATTCGGCCGATATAAAATGGTGGCGTTTTGTAAGAACTGAAATCCGCGGAGGTCACGCGAGGTGGCACGGAAATGCACGAAAATTGGTTAGCACGAAATTAGGTTACTTGACTGTATTACAAATTGTTAGTTTGGATTGGCTGATATTTCTTACCAGTTAAATCGAAAATCTGTACAGTTTTATTTCTTTCTAATGATTCAACTATCCACCCAATACCAGCTGGACTTAAATTACAATATTTCAGTTCCTGCAATAAAATTTAAACGATATTTTAAATAATGTTTGCAGATCCTTAAATATACGAAACCATAGAATACAAACTAGTTATATTGTGCTATAAAGAATATAGCTTCTTATTAAAAAGAAACTTACCAAGCGAACAATACCATCATTTCTTTTTAGCATTTCTGCTGTACTCCTAGCTCCATCATTACATAAATTATTTCTTGACAAATCTAAGGTAGTGATGGTATCGGTTTTCTGAAATGAAAATATACAGATTATATCAATGTCAATTATATACATAGATTACTGTAGATTCATATTTTACATTAAAGAAATACTATCTCTTACAATGAATATAAGATTTAAAAGTCTTTTGTCAATTATATATATATTCATCAATGGACATTCAGTAATTAAACTTAAAACTACGAAATAATGAAAATGCTTATAAAAGCTTGACTTTGCGGACTATACTCAGAATGTATATTTATGACACCAGGTAGTCCACTGATGAATATTCCGAAAGGCAAAAGAAAAAAGCCGTGTAAGAGACCGGCATTTAAAAACCTCACTAGACACTGGAAAATCTTTATTTAAAAATGGCATTTTTCTAACCATACAACCTAACAACCGTCAAAATACCTGAAATGTTTCGGACTATTATATTTCTCTAAGCTTTCCACCAGCCTCTATCTGCTATAGGAATTTTCGGTGATTATTACATTTCATTTACTTTAAGGAGTAAAATTTTCCATATCTTTATCTTATATCTTTCCATGTAAAAACCTAACTTACCGATAATAATATACATATAGCTTTTACATCTTCCCGTAATAATAAACGATCGTTGAGGCTCAGAGTGGGTGACATCAGCTGTTCTTGAACACATCTCAGAGGACGTTGTCCACTTTTAGAACAAATATTTCTATATAGATACTCTGGAGAAAAACCAAATTCTTCTTCTTCATCGTCTGTAGAATCTGATGAGTATAATTACTATAATGATTATTACGTCTTACTATATTGTTTGTCTAGTGAAATGAAGATTCAGATTGCACAATGCACGCTTGGACCACGGAAATCTGTGAGTGTGTCAATCTGTTTCATATTTTGGCGCCATAGTTTCGTTAGTTACTAAGAAAAGTTCGTGTATTTCATCAACGAACCTGGGATAAGCATATTAAGCGGGATACTATAGTCTTAAATATTTGCCTCATCAACAAATATTCAATTTCAGATCAGTTCAGTTACAAGTATGCATAAAACCTTTCAAGATTAAAATAAAGGACGTCCTGGTCTCTTTCAATTCAACAAAAACTTATCGCCAATTCACACTATCGTCACTTCCAGAACGTTAACATTCTTGCATTGAGTCATCAGCCTACCATTCATAGGAAAACGGATTTATGGTTTTTTATGGCTCGTGATATTTGAAGCCAGTACAAAGATCATTTGAGACACATGATCGTCTGTACCTTACCTTCAAAGGAATATTCTTCGTCTGCTTCGGCGTCGTAGGCATTGATGAAGATGTTTGGAAATGTGAGTCTTTTGCTACCTTTAACTTCATCACTACATTCACTATCGATCCCACTTTCTTCAGAATCCGTGCTTTTCAAGGAGATTTTCGAAGATCCCAGCCTTCCTCCCACCAGACAGCTAAAAGGTAGTTTAGTATTAAAGTTAGGACATGCAAGTCGTGAAGTCACTGCTTCAGAGGGGTGGATTGCGTTCAAATGTTCTCTGGTCGTTGATCTTTCCTTGGGGTCGTGGTATGATTCTATTACAGCACAAGTTGCTCTTCGTTTTAGATGCTCCGGTCGCTGTTCCAAAACAGAAACAGAACTGTTTGAAGTATATGAGAATCTCCTGGTCGAGTTGACCTTGTTAGGCTTGGATACAGATTCTCCATTGGCTTCATCAATCAAAATATCTTGGCTCCATCGTAAAGATTTCATTTGCCGATAATTTTGGTAACGAGATGTTGGATTTACATTCTTTTTATGTTTCGAGTTAGTGAACAGCTTGTTGGTAGATGAACGTTCCATTTGATTGGCGATTGTCTGCTAGTCATCAGCACTCGGCGTCAGATTGTCTAATGTCTGTTGTTATATGTGGTTCTATATTTACGTGATCTGTGTTGAACACCAACCGAGGGATTAAAGTATTTTACGGTGTGAATAATTCCACTAATCGTAAGATTTAAAAGTAGAGATTTATTGTTTGAATACTTGATATTATAATTTGAAAAACTGAAGTATTAATTAATCATATTAATTATCAAGTCAAGGTGTTAATCTTTTTTATCGCACTTGTGACGTAAAGAATTTAACATACTTATAATATTTAATTTTTGTACGCCGACATGGAAATTGCCGTTGCCCCTGTTTGTCGGTCCGTCCGTTCACATTTCTTGAAGGCACAAACGTGTCACATTTGGCATGTATATGTTTATTCGGTCAAGTCCGAAATTGCTAACAATCAGATGAACAGTTTCGGAGTTATTGCCCTTGACTTAGTAAAAACTCGTCAAATTTGGCTTGTAGGCATAATAGATATCATGGAGAAATTTGGTATGCATGTATATATTGACGAGATCTCGGTCAAGTTTTGAATTGGTAACAATAGGAACGATTTTAGAGTTATTGTCCTTGACTTAATAAAAAGCACGTCAAATTTCAGAGTTATTGCCCTTGTGTGTACGTCGATGAGACATTGTTTATGTTGGAATTTGGCTATCTGTGTTTGAGATTTTGCCTTGACTCACTTGACTTGATAAATATTTTTTAAGATTATTTGAAAATTCACTATTAAGCCACTATATCATTTCTGACAGCTTGCAGTGGGCGTATGTTTCCTTGCCTGGCGAGCTATCTTTACGTATTTCTCTGATTTTCTTTTTCATATATATATTCAAATGATGATATTCGAAACGTATTCTATAGACTATGAAGCATTGTTTGAGCAGCTCTGTAAAAGAAATTTTTATATTATTCCGCGAGTGTTGCCGTATACAGTAGTGGCGGGTGTCTCCCGCGAAGCAGACTATGCTTACTATTTTCGAAACACCTGATGGTATTTGTCTTAGAGTGGTCCACTACTATACAACTGTTAAATTCCCCATGTCACGCTTTATCTTCCTTGTATGGATTTTTATTCTTGTTATATTTTACTGGCCTTTTTCAGAAGATAGTAGTCTCAATACCTCTTTTTCCAAATCAAAAAACTCAATTTCATCACTTTTCATAATTTAATAATGAAATTTAGACTGCCGTCACTGTCAGGCGTTATTAATCTTGTCATGGAGTTTTTAACGATATAATGACGTCAATGGTAAACCAGAAAAAGTTGTGCCTATACCTAAACTCTGGTACGGTTTTATTGACTTGCAGGTTAACAGAGTGTAAAACGTTTTTGTTCTCAAAGGTGATATGGGCAACAATTCCGTAGAGCGGCGATTGGATCCCATAATGTTGGTTATATATTGAGAACAATAATTGCTAGTTTACTCCATTTAATGATAAATAGCCTATGGCCATCCTTTCACCAATGACCCCTGTCCAGCTGAACAATTAATTTCTAAAACTTTATTTCACTTTTCTGACTTTTGAGTATTTAAATTTTTAATGATATCCGGTTATGGCGTGAAATCATCTGATCAGGGCAAGAAAACCCGGCGTAACAACTAATGTAGTGTCTTACAGTGCACATTTTATTACAAATTCTTTTCATTTGATGAAGTTTGCATAATTTTTAATCAAGTGTATCCCCGTTAAAGAATGTACAATGTAATTTTATGGTTGGACATTTACAGGGGTTAAAATTTAAATTAACATTATTTCTGGTTTTATTACTCTTTGACAATAAAATTTAAGATGAAGAAAATATTGTCCGGTCATTCAATAGCAAGATGTTTAACAGAACGGTAAGACATTTTACTCTTTCTCTATTATTATTATTTGTATGTGTACATACCTAATCAATATCTAATCTTGAGTCTAACTTTTCAGACTGAAAATCTGAAATCAGTGGCTCAAGATGGATGAGTGTAGTTGGGACCTCTCCAACGTGATTTTTGTCAACATATATTTATGCTCTTCTGCATTTTGAGACCCTCTGTAAATTAATTTAATGCCTGTTAATGGAAAATTTAATAATTTTCAGTCTGTACGGTCAGCTGACTTGGTTCAATCCGGCCCTATGGTAGCCATTGACTGACATACGCTTTGTTCATGTGTCTAGACCTCTATTGCCAACATTGGTAACGTCCGAGTGGGTTATTGTTGATTTCATGAAAAGGAGACAAATTGTAGCTTAGACGGACTCTCTTTAAGAAAATTTGTATCAATATGAGAAATTATGTAAAATGAGGTGGAACTCTATCAAAAATGATTTTTGAATTTAACTTTTGCGGGAGTAATTTTTTTAAATAAGAATATGTTTACCATTCCAATTTACTTTCGAAGGTCAATCCAGATTGTTGAGAATTAATTGAAATTAATTAAGTGTATTTGTTCGTTTTGAAAAAATATTAAAAAAAACGTATTAGAAGGATTAAACCTTATTATAACATTTTTAACGCTTTTTTTCTTTTGAGGAGCACCTATAATAGTCCTTTTCAATGTTTGTTGTTCACAGTTAATCCAAATCATAGCTAATTTTTGTAATTAAGATTAAATATGAAATTATTACCTCGACACTCGATCATGACACCTCTCATCTACATTAAGTCTAGAATATAACTTTAATCGTTAACTAGGGATTATAAGCCGCGGTTTTTTATTCCTAAAGGCCTTGCCACGCCTTGAAGATTAAGCAAAGGTGTTTTCAAATACTTTTCGAATACGCTGTCGTACGTCGACTACGTTATGTTTAAGTATTTTCAACTATTTTTCGTGTTTAACGCTATCAGTCAAATTTAGTTGAAAAGGTTGTGTACCAAATGCATATTTCATCATGTAATGTCATTTTTCTTTCAGAAATCACCTTTACTGTGTTTGATTTTAACAACACTTGTGACCATAGACGCTTTGTATGTCCAGCAACAAAATGGGAAGGATTCTAAAGACAGTGATAAGAATTCAATACAAATCCAAAATGCTAATGCACACAAATACACAGTGACCGGGAAAGGAATTCTTAACGGTGGTAAAACTGCCCAAGATGCACACAATGGGAATAGTAAAACAGCGGGAAGCAGCCTGTATCAAGGGAGCGGCACAGGTCATCGTGCTTCACAGTTTGGAGCCGTGGCATCAGGTCATCATACAGCATCAAATAATGCCGCCACCAGATCGTCTAATGGTGGAAAGGAACACGAAATTTTGGCCAGCAAGAATATGGGTTCCAAATCCGGAAGTTCAAGTAGATCATTAAAGAAAAAGAATCACAAGAAAGATTATATCCTAAATGACAGCATTCATTATGGTTTTGATAAAAACTTCAACCAAGAGCAAACAGAAAACGGTGTTTATAAACTGAATAAACACCTTGATGCTAAACAGTTAGCTAACCATCATGATCGACATAGAAAATATAAAACACGACGAGGACAATCAGATACTTCTTCCAGAAGTCTAGGATCTCAGAGAGGCTTAAAAGAAAGCGCCCAAAATGCTTTCAATGGAGATAATTCTTCACGATTCGGCGATTTCAAGAGCAAACAGAATGCCAAAAGCAAGAATGGTGCTAAAAGTAGTATATTTGGTTCCCAGTATAATTATAAAGCCGGTGGTAACGGATATTCTAATAAAAAGGGTGATAGACTTGGACGAAGTCAAAGTTCCTCCAATCTGAAAACTAGCAAGCAAGGAACTAGTACATCACGTTTTGGCGAGCAGCAACACGGTGGGTCTGATTTTGTTGGACCGTACAGTAAAATAGGTTTAACGCACCGCGGTGGTTCTCGAGGACATAAACTTTCATCTGGACAAGGTTATAGATCTTCTGATGCTAAGGGTGTTGGAGTATCTCGAGCTCTATCTAACAGAGATTCCAAATTTCGATCAGGTGCATTCAGTGACTTCACGAAAAACAGAAACTCTGGTGATGACAGAAACGTTTCTTCAACTCAATCAGAAAGTCAAGGGGATTCAATGAAACGCAACAGAGAACATCACAATTCTGGTAAATTCAAGAATGCTTCCAAAAGAAACTTTGCTGATGCTTCTAGATTCCACAATAGCAACGATTCTTCACGACAGAAACTTGTTAATATAGAAGGTGGTGAGAATACCAATAAAGATTATAAAAATAAAGTAAAGAACAAGAAGGTGTCCAAAGTTTTCCACACATCGAAAAAGGTTATTGGTAAGTTGATTCACGCCTCTTATTTATAGAAACATAACTCAAATATTTGAGCAAAACAAAACTGCAGAATTGTGTTGTAACCATTCTAGTCACACGTCTGTTGTACAGGTGATAATAGACCAAGCACTAGTATTTTAAGCTCTTTTATTCCAGGTGACAACTATGAGCGACTGGATTTTGATAGAAAGAAATTAGAAAAGGACAGAGCGAAGGATTCCTCTTCTAAATCATCAAATACTTCTAAATTCAGCAAAAAATTCCGAAACACAAACAATAAAGCCAAACATCAATTTAAGAATAAGGATAATGCTGGGTACCATTCTAAAAGCACCGGCCAAGCTGATCGTTTTTATGCAGCAAAGGAAGGAAATAAAAAGAAAAACATTCAAAATAAGTTTGGTTCTCATGGTGAGGGTGATTATTCCTTTTCGAATTCGGGACAAGGATTTCAAAAGTTTGGTCTGAAACAAGAGAAATCTGGTTCAGGGAACCACGCTAGTAGGCAACAAATGGCGTCTAGCAATTCCGAGTTCGACAACTCTGCACTTGCTGATCATCGAGTTTTCGGAAATCGCGATCACAGAGGTTTACATCACTTAAATAGTTTAAATATAGCCCCTTCTTCTAAATCAAGATTAAGTATGCCACACCCTGAACCTAATCAGCCAAATACTTATAGAAACCCTTCCAAAATATACCTACCACAGAGTGTTCAATCTTCCTCTTCTCAAACATATTTACCGCAACCAATACATTCCCAAAGATATCACCCACAGAGTGCAAATTTCCAGAGACACCAACCTCGGAGTAAACAATCCCAAACATATCTACCGCAACCAATACATTCCCAAAGATATCATCCACAGAGTGCAATTTCCCAGAGATACCAACCTCGGAGTAAACAATCCCAAACATATCTACCACAAACTGTATATTCCCAAAGATATCATCCACAGAGTGTGAATTCCAAGCAATACAAACATCGGAGTAAACAATCCCAAACATATCTACCTCAGACAGTATATTCCCAAAGATATCATCCACAGAATGGGTATTCCCAAAGGTCTCCATCACACAGATCATCACCCCCGAAATACCAACCGCAAACAGTATTATACCAAAGACAGCCATCATCAATAACTGGTCAAATGGGGTATCAACTGGAGAGATCATCGTCTGTGTACAAACCGCATGCAGAATACCAACCACGAAATGTACCCCAGAGAATCCACGAATCTCCTTCTTTCACTCTTCCTAGTTTTGGCGTTCCTAGTCAGAATGGGGGTAATTCATTTTCATCTTTTCATCACCCATTCCAAACACCCAATAGTCATACTGATATGGCAACAAAATCAACAGATACACGTTCTGTATCTTCTGAACGATTTCCAAAAGGTACCAATCGCAATGAAACGCCAAAGTTTCATGGTGGTTTTGAACAAATGTCAGTGTCCAATGTATTTGCTGAAAGTTTTTTTTCTCCTAATATGTTTTAAAAAGCCTCTTCAGATGTGATAATAGTGTATAGATTATGTGCATTTTTTTTTAAAAATAAAATGTTTTTTATGTTTGAAGATGTTCAGTATAGATTAATGAACACAAAAGAGCCAATGTAGTGGGTGCTCAATTGGTATGTTCTGCCCGTTTGAGTTTCATGGATTTAACAGGTGGTACAACAAGTAGGTGCCTATCAAAATGCGTCCACTTCCCTGATAAATTTTCGGTGTAAACGTGTGGTAAATCATAACAAAATCTTGTCATAGATATTGTTTTATTCAAACCAACACACAAAATGTAAGAAAACTTTTTTAAAAAAGTCACCTCTATTGCGTTCGCAAGCCACGTTTATTATAATTATTAAAATCAGATAAAAGTATAGTCTCTATTGTGCTCACAAACAAATTTTGACGAGTTTTCAGTCAAGGGCAATAACTCAAAAACCGTTAATCGGAAATAGTCAAATTTGAACTTGACCAAGTTCTCATCAATAGAAATGAACACACCAAATTTCATTTAAATCTGATAAAAACTGTCGTCTTATTGTGTTCACAAACATTTTTGACGCGTTTTTACTAAGTCAAGGGCAATAACTCAAAACAACGAAAATTCGTCTATTAAAAGCATCAACCAAAACTATTCAGAATGGCAGTAATAGTAATCTCCGTTTCAAACTGTGTCAGAGCTTCAGAATTGGGGGAGGGGAGGTCTTTAGGTTTAACCATTGTTGCTATTAACGTTCTGGCTGTACACGCGCATGTGCAGATGATCCCAAAGTTACGTGATGCATCTTTACAAAGAAGCAGATACACAGATTAAAAAAATAATGCAAGCTAATAATCTTTATTTCAAGTATATTAAATACTTTTAGTTAAATAATATATTATTAATGATACGTTCAATAATAAATAAAGTCGATTCAAAAGACACTATTGCACAATATTCTTAGCAGGAAGTTTCAATTCAATGAGAAGAGCTAAGCTACAGTTCAAAACAATCAAAACACGCTAAATAGATAGATATACTACCACCATTGATCTCAGATTAAGTTGTTGATTCTTGTTGATATTTTTCTTTAAACAGGATGTTTGAAGTGTTAAATTGCTATAGCTCAAAATACATGACGATATTCAACATGTACACATAACGATGTGATCCAATATGACTGAAACTGATCCGGATTGAAAATGGCCAAATAGTCCGCACCATCGTTGATTAAGGCAACGTTAATAGAAGTCACGACAATAAATATCTAACATGGATGCTTATAGCTGCAGATAGCTACCATACTAGATTTCTGTGATGCTATTGGAAATGAACAACGTACAATATATTTTATATATATGATAGAAAAAATTGTTTTCAAGAAATATCATTTCTCATTCATTTTCATTGGATTCCACGAAAAATATATCCTGGAGTTCTCTAGAAGTCAGGTGGAACGGATTGCATCTTGAAGAGTCTAACCTTTTCCCGTGATCTAAATCTTGTTTGTAGTCATATTTCGATTGTTGAAAAAAAGCAGGCCTATGAAAAATCGCTTCGTGGTAAAAATGGTCTTTTTTCAGTGGACTTTTAACCTCCGTTTCAAGAGGACTCATATGAAAGAACAATTCTGATTTTTTCTCGATGGACCACCCGCTTTCCTTTCTGGCTTGAGTTGACTTGGCTACCACTTTATGTCTACCAGCTAATCTGATGTGTGGTATGGACTCAAAAATGGTTCTCTCTGAGTGCCCGTCAAAATTATCGGAGTTATCTGCCACATTACAGTTATAAAACATTTCGTCAACATCAGTCATACACACATCTTCTGTTATCCAACTACCTTTTCTGCGTCCTTTTATTTTCTCCAATTCTTCATTGAATGTATTTTCGTCGCTAGGAATAAGGTTTATATCCATCATTTGCTGTTTCTGTAACAAGAAAACACAGATTGAGCTACAACTCGTATTTACAGGGATATGCAGGTTTTCTTTCGAAATAAGAGCCTCTTCCTCCGCAGCATAAAGTAAAAAAGATTAGTGATGTGGAATGATACTGACATGCTAAGTTTATCTCTGACTATTTAATATTTTGTGTTGCCTACATCTGTCTGTACCACAGCCTGCAATCTTGAGAGATATGATTCCAGCGAATCGTAAAGAATATGAGAATCAAGCTCCTTTTTATTTTGTTTGACTATTGAGTTTTTGCACGATAAGACAACTTGTGTCAAGGCTCTTAGTACGACGATTTGCTGATACAGTATATAAAGTACAAGAATGCAGGCTGCGATATAGCCTACAGGCAAATGGAGGCCGCACAAAATATCAAATAACCAGAGAGAAACCTTTTATGTTTGTAAAATATTATCTAGAAATAACCTATAACTTTAACGTGGTAAATAAGAAAAATAGTACTTACTTCCAACAACGTTTCGATGATGTTTCTATAGAATTGTTACAGGTAGGATGCAATACAAAGTTCAGATAATTTCAGATTGAAAATGTTGTCGCCATGGAAACTTTAACAGTTTTCTAACGTGTTCCTCGTTTCAAATTTATAAAAACTTGTCTATCAGTATACAACTTGAAGGTGAAACTGACAGGGATTTATTATTATTCATTATGTCTATATTTATTTTTTACGTTTACTAAATACTCTCTATTGTAGGCGTATGATTTTAACACCTTCCAATTTTGTTATATACATCATTGATGATTTGATAGCACAACTTGAACATAAAATATCTGAATTTTATTTGCGGGGAGGAGGGGTGGAAATTTTTGAAGGCTCTACCTGTACAGTCTGTAGCATCCGCTCTTTTGTTCCACTCCACCGACAAAACTCTTTTTCCAAGTCAGTCTTTTCGACAAAAATCTAAACTTAATCGCACGCTTCAGGATAGATGGATGTTTATGAAGATCTGAATTTGGTGTAAATTTATGAAGATTTGTTTTCTATCATATTTGTTTCCCATACTAATTCATTTAGTAGGTTCATTAGGTTCCAACAAACCTTTATATATGGATATTTATATATCTATTAATAAAATATCTGTATATATATAATGTAGGGCTTGTTGTTAACGAATTGGTTCAGCGGCAAAACCATTTACTTAAATTACACTGCCAAAATAATGTCGCCTGCGTATAGCCTAACTTCAAGATAAGATTTTATTCAATACCTTTTACGCATGTGATACTGCTAAGTAAATGATTTATCATCCCTTTATTAGATGTCAACCACAGAACTATTCAACCTTTCAGCTTTAAAAACAATATAACCTATTACCTTTCTTCACAATTCTTAAAATACATCCCATTATTAGGTCCCGAAGTCGTCAGAATTAGTCGAAATCGTCAGTGGTATTTTATTCACTAGTCGTCGTCGAGTATTTTATCAACTACTTGAAAACCCTTATGCAAGTAATTGTATAATAAAACATGGTGCTCACTACTTCAAACATTTTTACCTTGGCTTTTAAGTTGGAGGGAAAGTTAAGTTTAAGGGTCCTAAATAGAAGGTGTCCTTTACTGGCTTAACAATAAATTTATCATGCATGGAATATGTGGTATTTAGTGGCAGAGCCAAAAGGGAGCAGAGGAGGTAGCCACAATATATATCTTTGGAATTTCCTTTATTAAACAGTTAGCTGAATGCATTGAAGTGTGTTCTGCATAAAATATATAATATAACTAAAATTATTGAATAGCACATTGATTTATTTGCACAGCAGCTAAAGAATTCCGTCACATTGTTTTCCACTAGTCAACCAACCTTACAGCACTGGGAAAAAACCAAAATAATAAATATTATGATGGGGTAAAGAAAGAATTAGAATAACTCTTCCTAATGGTACAGGTCTAGTGCAGTCCTGGTACCAAGCAACCTACCGTTATGTTACGTTAGCAATCTGCAACTGATTCAGCTTTAAGAAAACTGTCGAAGATTGCCGAATGTCCTGGTACTTGTAGAGGTACTGTCAGTCTGAAAATAATAAACTTCTGATAATTTTTTAATCAGATATATGAGGTTGCATTAAACCATGAAATTGATGAAAGTGATATTGTTCTTCGATGGTACGTGTCTTCTTTTGTTGGTGATAATCTTTCATTATTGCACATCAACAGGCTGATAATTCTGCTGCAGTAGATGCCCTTCTCCTATCAACTTGAGACTTTTACATCCAATTCTTTAACAACTATTCAAATCACGGTAAGAACTGTGGCTGCAGGTGGTGCTTTCATGCAGGTCGTGCTATTTTGCTTATTTCAGAATACTTGACGCCACTATTGTACAGGGTTTGTTATTACGACAGTCTACATTGCTAATAACATTATTTCTGAATAATACTTTTTTAATTTACTTAACACAGATCTTTATCATAATTACAAAGGATTATTGTTAATAAATATGTTTGCTATATATCAACTATTAATTCTCTATAATAATTGGTTGGTTAAGGATTAAAGCCAAAGATTATCGCTAAATCCCTGAAATTAATCTGAACAAGGTTGTTTGGTTGTGAATACCATTTTATTTTAGTTACTTGACCAAGTTCACGCTGTTACAAACCAAGTAAAGCGATTACAAATAATATTTGTTAGAAGAACGGGATATTTTATACTGTCCTGTGCCGTTGCGATGCAGAACTTGTTTTATGGCGGTTTAAGAAATGGCAGAATTTAGATAACTGAACATTTCACTGTGTTATATGTGTTAAAAGATTAAAAGAAATTTTTTATTAAGAGAAATAAAAAAAAACAAGATGGCTTCCACAACTGCAATGGATATTGGCGGCAATCGTCAGCTCCTTGCTAAAACATTAGCTAATGATTATCGATTATCAGGTGGAACTAAAAAGAAGGAAGGAAAACTAGTTGAAAGAAAGAAGCAACCAGTTGAAGTTGAGCAGCCTGTTTCGAAAAGTCCTGAAGTGGCTACCAACAAGTCTAAAATTCATTGGATTAGAATGGAAGATTTGGATAAAGAATTTGAAGATTATAATTATGATAGTAGGTTATGCTATCTTTGAACCTTGTGAAAAATCTCAGAACCCAGGTCCCATTCTTTTTGGCTTCCAGTTCTCCGAATTTCAAACGCTATCATACTAGAAACTCTCGCGGAGCCGGAAAACCCACTGTCTTAATAAAGAAACCGATAAAGATTAACGAACTCATCACGGTGGGAAGAGTTAAGGCATTGGCAGAACATCATAAAATTCAACACATTTGATTAGGCCTACTTCTTCCATTTGACTGTATATGTATAATAGTTGTGGGAGCACAACCCCGGGTTCCCACATGGACGTAATCATAATTTTTAGCTTTACCTGTCGGAATACCACTCTATATTTTTATATTTATAACCAGCATGCTTATTTGGATGAAATTACAGGAATCGTCATTGTACAATCAATTTTCACACTGCTATCTTCAAACAACTGATATATTTCGGCAGAGACAGGCTGAAAGATCAGTCGTCTGATAATTTTTATAATAATAATATTTAACTATAATGGTAGATAAATTTGATATTCATTCCATTGTAGGTGATGGGGACTATGATGATGGTAGTGCCTTAAAAGGCAGTATTTCACAACTCTCCTACGTCAGTGCTTGTAGAAGACTCAAGGTTAACACCATGAAATTGATCTACACTGGTCTGAACCAGAAACGACTTTGCATTAAAAATCAACTGATTTCACCACAGTCAGTGAAAGCATTAACAATTGCCTTGGTGAAAAATGTGGTCGTAGAGTCTCTGACCTTTGATTCAAATGAATTGAAAGCAGCTGGAGCCACGATAGTTGCATCCATTATACCCCAAAAATTAGAACTGCTGGAACTGAACTTAACCAATAATTCTTTAGGGTCGAAAGGAGCCGAAGTAATCTGTAATGAACTAATGAACAATACTATCATTCAAAAAGTGGATCTTTCTGGAAATTATTTCAACGAAGACGATGCCATATACTTCAGAGATCTACTGGAAGAGAATAACTCAATAATGGAACTCAATTTAAGTCACAATAACTTTCAAGAAATGGGAGGAAAGGTGATTGCAGAAGGAATAGCTAAGAATGATTTTCTGAGAGTTCTAGATTTGAGTTGGAACCATCTAAGAATGTCTGGAGTTGTAGCTATAGGTAAAAGTTTACTAGAAAACACTACGTTAGAAGTTCTTAGAATTGGTTGGAATGGTTTCAATCTGAGGGGTTGTATAGCTCTTGGGGAGTCGCTATGTGAAAATAATACCTTAGTGGAATTGGATTTGTCTTGTAACAGAATCACAGACTTGTGCTTGGGTCAGCTTCTGAAAGCCTTCCACACGAACACCACCTTAAAGATATTGAAGCTGCCTCTGAATCAACTTTCACGGCATGGTTGTGACGTTCTCTTGAAAATGATAGAGAGCCACGAACAAATACCTCTTCAACTAATTGATTTGGGTAACCAGAGTGTGAAAGAAAACTTCCCTGCAAGAGCCAAGGAATTAAAAAATACCAGGAATATCGATTTCTATCATGGCCCCATTATTAGAGAAGGCATTCAATTTGGTGGAGAGAAGAAGCAAGAAAAGTCTGATTCTTTGGATAACGAAGATCCATTTTTAATTTTGATCGTGTACATGCGGTTACAAAACATCAGAATGTTGGAAATGTTTTCTAACATGGATAAAGATATGAGTAAATCGGTGACAAGAGAAGAATTTAAACGAGAAATGAAAAGGGTGAATATCCCATTAACAGAATGGCAGCTTGATCGTTTGATACATTCATTAGATAGTGATAGGAATGGAGACATTGATTTCAGTGAGCTCATGACAGGACAAAAAGAATACAAAGTTCGTATGTATACTAAAGGTGACGAAGTTGACGGAGAAGAATCAGAGTTGGAGAGGGTCAGTCGTAAGATCGAGGCTACCATGGCTAGAAGATACCGTATGAGGCAATTCTAAGCCACTGTATAGTCTAAGTAGATCAACATTTAAGAGTTGGTGGAGGGGGTTGGATTTTGTAATATAATAATCTCTAGAATCTAGAAATTCACATTCATGAAACATACTTCAAACTAGGAATTTAAATTTCCATTAGCTTCTTTCACTAGTTATCAACTGCCTGGAAATGAGGGTGCCCGAAATTAAGGTATATATTATATTATTCAACGGTAAGCTGTGAACACTATAACTTATTATAGTATAGTATACTTACTATTAGCTTAGCTGAACAATTCCTGTTTCTGAGACTGAAGTACGATTGACCTTCGAGAATGGTGAACCATGACTTTTCAGCGTATCCTACGTCGATTCTTCGGATTTTCAATAGGGTACATACTTGGATGATAACAAACACTCACAACAGGTTTGTCAAAAAAACTGTCAAGAATTGCGCCTTATAGAGTGTTTACGAGCATTTCTACCACCAATTTCAGCTTGCCTAATTTACATACGGTATTATAGGGTTTTAAATTGACAATTGATTATTTTCTCTTTTGGTATCATTACTTGTCACATCAATAATGATTGGTTATAGGTCGATGACCAAGCATAGACATGGGGTTGATGACCTTGTAGGTCGATGCCTCTGCTTGTTGAGGTCGATGCTTCTGCATCTTAATATTAGGCGTTTTTCAATAGTTGCATATTTTTGGGGATTTATGGATTATATAAGGATCCTGTTATGTTATTTTTGACACCAGGTAGGCTATATCTACTGATGAGTATAGGCTACATGCTCTTATTGGCATTCTTAAATTCTTTGTTCAATCTAAGACGTAGTATTCCTTTAATGTTCATTTGTGATTATTTATTAGCCGATCACGTTCCATTGTAAGATTGTATAATGCTTTTTCTTTCTGGTACAGATTGGGGTAACACCTAGAACCCTATTTGAAAATAATAAGATGATGTGATGCGCTGCTATTTTTACAGTTCCATACATAACTTCACGTTAACCTTTATATATTTTCTTTTCCTTGCAATCATTCTATTTCAAATAGTTTAATATGAAAATAGGTTGTATATGAAAATAGGTTGTTTATAGCTCTTAAACATATAGCTCTTAAACACCCAGGAAGTCACAATTCTTATTGAAATTGTTTATAAAAATACAGGGATGAACCCTGTATATCATAGAAAAAATATTTTATATAAAAACTTTGATAAAAAAAGTTTGATGACCACTAAACAGGAAGGGCCTCATATGTTGCAGAATGACGTCTGATTGAAAATTGGACTTGCGCAAATTGATGCTATCGCTTTCTCCCGTACACTGTATACACATGAGAAATTATAAATCCTCTTTACAATCCCAATCCCTTTAATAGAATCTTAAAGCATTTTCTAGTGTGTCCTATATACAGCCAGCCGATAATCCGGGATGATTAGCCAAGAGATTTGGCTAAGGACTAGCTGGAAGGAAGGATCCTTAACTGTGAACCCAAGTTGTTATCCTTGTAAAATATAGTTTTTTCTTTCTTTCTTTATTTCTTTCTTTCTATCTTTAAAGAAATATATTGAACTCCCTGTGTTTACGAGCTAAATATTGAACGCGTTTTCAAGAATAGTTCGCCCTTGGGATATTACAAACAATAACACTAGGTTTCGTCAAAAATCCGTCAAGAATTGTGCCTGCTTTAGTGTTCCAAGAACAAGGGAAATAACTCATACTAAATATTTTTCTGATTTTCAATTCATCCTTGGGTGATTACAAACACTCACACCAACGTTCGTTAAAATCTGTCAAGAATTGCGCCTTCCCGGTGTTTACAAGCAAAAACTTGAACGCGTTTTTAAAACATAACTCATACTAAATATTTTTCTGATTTCCTATGGGATTCATGCTTGAGTGATTACAAACAATCATTCGTCAAATTCCGCCAGGAATTGTGCCTTCTAGAATATTTACGAGCATTTCATCAACAATGGCAATAACTCATATTACTAATTATTTTCGATTTTTCTGATTTTCAATACGGTTCATCCTTGGGTCATTACAAACACTAGCTCACACCAAGTTTCGTCAAATTTCTAGAGTGTTTACGAGCAATTAAAGAATAAGGGCCAAACAAAATATTTTTCGATTTTTCAATATGGTTCCAAGTTTCAAGAATTGTGCCTTCTAGAGTGTTTACGAGCAATTGTGGTCTGACGGACGGACGGGCCGGTAAACATGGGTGACGCAAATATACGCCTTCCCCCCATGACCCCCACCCATTTCAATTGGAAGTATAAAAAATACTATCAAACTAAAAGTATAATGTTATTTTGATTTTTATTTGCTATATTCATCAAACCCATTATATTGTTTGATATTTGTATTTTTTCTATTATTATTCAAACAAATTCGATGCATAGGGCAAAGTTCATTACATCAGTAAAGTCTTGTCTTTTCACTGAGAATTAGGATTTCATGACTTCAACCTTCGTCCTCCATTTCAACGTTTTTCTTTTTTTCCATGAAAGTAACGGGATTTGGTCCTTTACAACGATATTCAACGTGGTTAAACAGGGACACTTTCTGTGTGAATGTCATTCCACAGTGTGGACAAATAAAGCGGATATTCAAATGTTTTTCACGGATATGACGTCGTAAACTGGTTTGAAATGTAAACTTCTTCTCACAGATTTTACATCCATATGGTAAATCATCGTCACGTTTTTTCATCTGAAATAGATAATAAAGATTTGTTAAAATATTGACAAATTCGGCATTAATTTTATTTATATGAATTTCGAATCTATTAAATTGTTATTGAATATTTGAATATTCAATGATACGGATTGTTGCAATCAGAGAATACAGTTCTATTTTGCAATTGAATTTTATAATCTTGAAAGGCAAATGTTAAGTTGGTTTTATACCTCATAAGTAAAGAGTCGAATGGATAGAAGCCTGTTACTGATTTTCGGACATAACTCAGCTATCCATTTCTTTTCAAATTAAAAAAAAAACCCGCCCGGTTTTTCTACAGTCTTTAATTTCACAGGGAGCAGGGAAAAACCGCCTTTATATGGAGATACAGGAATCGTGTTCTAATAGAGACGGGGGAGTTTTAACCCAGATAAGTTTTCTATCTTTTAGGACAGAAGAGCCTTGTACTAGATCAGTTTTTAAGGTATGTAATATAGGAACAGAAGAGCCTTATACTAGATCAGTTTTTAAGGTATATAATATAGGGTCAGAAGAGCCTTATACTAGATCAGTTTTTAACGTATGTTATATAGGGACAGAAGAGCCTTATACTAGATCAGTTTTTAAGGTATGTAATATAGGGACAGAAGAGCCTTATACTAGATCAGTTTTTAACGTATATTATATAGGGACAGAAGAGCCTTATACTAGATCAGTTTTAAGGTATGTAATATAGGGACAGAAGAGCCTTATTACTAGATCAGTTTTTAACGTATGTTATATAGGGACAGAACAGCCTTATACTAGATCAGTTTTTAACGTATGTTATATAGGGACAGAAGAGCCTTATACTAGATCAGTTTTTAACGTATGTAATATAGAGACAGGAGAGCCTTATACTAGATCAGTTTTTAACGTATGTTATATAGGGACAGAAGGGCCTTATACTAGATCAGTTTTTAACGTATGTTATATAGGGACAGAAGAGCCTTATATTAGATCAGTTTTTAAGGTATGTAATATAGGGACAGAAGAGCCTTAAGCTAGATCAGTTTTTAAGGTATGTAATATAGGGACAAAAGAGCCTTATACTAGATCAGTTTTTAAGGTATGTTATATAGGGACAGAAGAGCCTTATACTAGATCAGTTTTTAAGGTATGTAATATAGGGACAGAAGAGCCTTATACTAGATCAGTTTTTAAGGTATGTAATATAGGGACAGAAGAGCCTTATACTAGATCAGTTTTTAAGGTATGTAATATAGGGACAGAAGAGCCTTATACTAGATCAGTTTTTAAGGTATGTTATATAGGGACAGAAGAGCCTTATACTAGATCAGTTTTTAAGGTATGTAATATAGGGACAGGAGGGCCTTATACTAGATCAGTTTTTAAGGTATGTAATATAGGGACAGAAGAGCCTTATACTAGATCAGTTTTTAAGGTATGTAATATAGGGACAGAAGAGCCTTATACTAGATCAGTTTTTAAGGTATGTAATATAGGGACAGAAGAGCCTTATACTAGATCAGTTTTTAAGGTATGTAATATAGGGACAGAAGAGCCTTATACTAGATCAGTTTTTAAGGTATGTAATATAGGGACAGAAGAGCCTTATACTAGATCAGTTTTTAAGGTATGTTATATAGGGACAGGAGAGCCTTATACTAGATCAGTTTTTAAGGTATGTAATATAGGGACAGAAGAGCCTTATACTAGATCAGTGTTTAAGGTATGTAATATAGGGACAAGAGAGCCTTATACTAGATCAGTTTTTAAGGTATGTAATATAGGGACAGAAGAGCCTTATTTTTAACTTATATGATATAAATGTAATATAAGCTATAATGTTTTGTATAAAGTCCTTAGTTTAAATGGCACAGCAAGCCCGTACATCGGACTAAAAATTTGAATCGATGCTATCAGTGCCCCAGATACAATATAATGAACCACACACGTCCGGGATAATTTTTGGCAGTCGAAATGCGGATAATGTTTTGTACACAAGCACTATATGCTACCAGTGCTAAAGGAATATGGTCACAAGAGGCTTATATTGAATGTTAATGTTATAAGGATGTTTCTGTTATTGTTGCATATATACAGACACAGTCATGTTTACAACTTAAATACTACGGACCAGAAGGGTTTAAAATGTTTTTCCATCTTATTGAATAAAATTTCAAGGTGGTAAGCACAAAACACATATGGGTCACATTTACCATTTTATCTCCTGTTTCAAAACCAACTCTACTGATGATGAAAATTTCATTATTATTATATATCATATATATAAAAAACATGAATACCGGAAGAATTCCAAAAAATTTGTATTTAACACTGTGTAATTCATTCCGTCAAATTAGCTAAATACTGAATATGAGTTAAGGAATAGTCCACAATATTGTAAAATTGTCAGCTTTTGCCTATTAAAAGTATTGTGGGTGCACTCTCTTCTATTTGTAATCACATGTCACTGTGAACCCACTTGATGTTATACATGAAACTCTGAGCAGATGAAACCTAAAGTAACATTCTTCACTGAGCACATTCATAACTATGTGTTGACTTTACTTGGGCATGATGGAATATGTTTGGTAAGATGGGTCTTTCTGATAAAAGATGTGTCACAGAATGGACAGAAATAGCGAAGAAGTTTGTGTTTTTCACTAATATGACGACTTAAATTTGGTCTGTGTGCAAAACTTTTCTCACAATATTTACAGAGATAATGTCCATCAACCTACAATAAGAAAATGAAAGTTGTCAGAATTTAAACAAAAACCATAATCTGAACATATACAAATATACAGAACTCAATTCCATAAACTAAATGATGAACTATGAAATATGACACCATTGTACACATAAAAATCAACAGAAGACACATGTTACTTGAATAATGACATAAGATGACTTTAACTAAAAGCAATAAAATCCAAACTATGTCTTACTTGTACATGTATTTCTTTATATTATCTTTTTATCATAGGTTTTGGATAATTTAAAAGTCAAATCAATGTAAGGCTCAATCATAGACTTATATAATAACAATATATGGTATAAGTTCAACTAATTTCAAATTTTATTTTGATGAAAATATTTTGATCAATAACTTTTTTTGTCGCAAAATATAAAATGTCTCATATTATTACATTTAAGATTAATGGTGCTAGCTGAATAGTAAAAAAAAATTGAAATACATTTTATTTGGTTGAAAAAGCAAATGTTGATAAAAACAATTGCCAGTTGTTGTAGCCAAATTATGACAAATTTCCTCAAAATACAATGAGATAACTATTTTTTGGTCATATTTCTTGCAAGCTTGGTGACAATCACCTACAAATGCTATATTTGATCTGCATAACTTTTTATGATGCGCTGGACCAACTGAAAAGGTTCATCATAAAAATTGGGTCAAATTGTAGACAGATTTCAAAATCAGGTACAATCATATTAATAGCTTGTATAAATTCTATTTTAAAAGCACAGTTCTATTTTAAAGGAAGTCTGAAACAGCCATACTTGAATTATCATTATTGTATAAATACTAGTAATTAAAAGAAATGCACATCAACATGTTCAACATCACAACAGCATGATTGTACCTACTATCTAACATATCTACTAAATTATAATTTAGTTTTTTATATACACAATGTAAAGTTATCATATAGTAGAGGTAAGTGTGCACATCTGACAACAATTTCAAAGAGCATCACTCAAAGTCCACATTAGTTTTAGATATAATATTGAACACAATATCAATTGGCTGACTTGTATAGTCTCTGTTACTATATATACTACCTTAAAGGGGCATGTATAGTTGCTATACATTGACCTGAGAAACCATTTCAAACATCAAATGTTTGTGAATTAACACTTGGATATAATAAAGTTAAAACTTTCAGGAAAAGAAAAGGGCATTGCCCTCTATATGTTAGCATGTAATTTGATGTATTTCACACTCCAAACCACAAAAACCAATTAAAAAAAAGCAGAATGCCCTTTAAAAATGCAACATGTTTTATACTTTTTATCTTCAAAACTCCAAGCATTGTTGCTAGTGCTCAATCTATCACACAAGGTATTTTTACTCACTCAACATTCCACAACTAAACACATCCATATTAGCTCTTTCTGACTTGCATCAATGACAAGGAATACATGAGTTGAAAAATCAAAAAAAAACTTTTATGACCTGTGGTAATGGATATATCTTATACAATAAATCTTGTGGTTGAATCAAAATGTAAACTTTAAATTGTCATCTTAGCAATGATATCAACCTGTATGTATTTTTCTCAATATTTAACTTGAACAATATTTTGACTTCATGACCTTGGCCAGTCCTGTAATGAGTTCTATCAACAAGATTGTGCCCTACATAGTATAAAACAATAGAGTTTACTTTTATTGTAGTTTGTAAGCTTGTTCTGATTGCTCAGTACTTGTAAGGAGTATAGGACAAGAGTTTTTCATATGTCTATGTAAATTACAAGTCTGGGTAAACTTTTTGCCACAAAATTCACAAGACACTCTTTCATTTAAATGCTTAGCCACAAAATGTCTTTTTAGACTTCTTCGCTGTAAGAGGAACATTCCACAGATTGGGCATGGCACTTTCTTCTCACTTGCTTTTAATGGTGAATTCACCTACAAAATATAGATGAAAACCAGGGTGAGAATTGAGAAAACAGAAAAAACTCCACTTAAAATAGTATCAACAACATCACATCATAACTTGTAAAAAATAAACAAAACAAACTAATAGCAAAGAAAAATAATTAGTAACTAAATGACATCCACGATTGTTTCTGTATCCTCTTTGACAAATCTATTCTATTAGAGACTACTTCAACTTAACATCACAAGTAAAACAAACCATCTTTAGAATATTCAAACTGAATTCAGCTGTACAGACTTGAAAACAACAAAATCAAGAACAAGAACAAGTATGCAACAATTAAATCAACTGAACTATTTCAAGAATAACCATCTGAGAGTACTGTACAAGATGTAGTAGATTAAAACCAGTCTAAAAGAGTCTCTAGATTAATTTCAAATAATAAGACAGAATGACAATATGAAAGAAACTGACCTGAAGACCTAAATATAAAGGTTAGGAGGATGATTATGAACTTGTAAACTATCAAAACAAACAACATCATCAATAGTTGTAACATAACTTGAACAACATTTGGTTGTACATCGCCAATTAATCCGACATGTCATAGTTTTCATATTCTCTGTCTTCTTATTAACTCGATACATATAACCATCATAACATAGAAATCGACCACCTCGTTTAGTAGGGACAAACCACTCCACTGGTCCTGCTTCAATTTTCATATCATCTACCACATTCTGCAGAGCCAAAAAATTATGATACATATTGAAATGAATTGAGCATATAGAAGAAAAAAAAAGGAGGAATGTAAGCTTAATTAAATCTTTTTAGATTTTTCAAAATATCAGTTAAGATTAACTTTTCAGTTCCTGAGTCTGTCTCATCCTGTAGCACATATGATACCAGCTGGATACCAACAATGCACATTTACTATGATATATAGCAACTTATGTTCCAGTTTGTCCCAGACTTACATGAAAGAAAAAGTTTCTACATTGTAAACAAACAATTTAATAAGGAATGTAACAACCAAGTCTATAACAATATTCAACAATCAACAAAAAAGTGGTGTATAAATGAAAATAATAAAGAATCTTAGTTAAATAGTCGTTTAAATACATGTTCTACCAGCTAATAGAGCTCCATTTGAGCCATTTCATCTCCAATTCTCACTAATAAAACATTATATGAATTTGGATGATGTCAAGTTATATGTGTATAATTGTTTGTCTAAAATGCCTTCTATTGTAGAGTATCCATACACAGCCATGTGATCTGATTTGGATTTGGAATAACATTGTTGCAACAATTCTGCTATGCTAATTCTAAAAACGAACTATTTCAGATTATTTTATAGTATCCAGAGTGTATTGTAAAGATTTGCATGAATGATTCAGATGCCTTATTAAAGAGGTTCTGCGTGTAAATGTAGTATGACAAGTGGGACATTGTTCCCTTTTAGCAAGATGTCTTTCTTTAACATGCTGCACTACATTAGAATGATACACGCCACAATAAGGACACTGGTTCTTTGGACATTTTGGACCCATTGTTTTCCATGCCTACAATGAAAGAAAATTCCTTCGTAAATTTTTGGAAAAGAGATTTTTTTTCAAAAAAATATTGACTACTGACTATAAAACCCAAACACCCCAGAATAGCAGCATGAATATTTTAACCAAGTTAGTTGGCTTATACTTTTAACATGGATTAATGCTTATTGAGCAAGGCATAGACTTTCAAGAAACTTTAATAATAATAATAAAATAATAGTCGTATTTATAAAGCATCGAAATCCACTCTACATGGAGAGTTCTCAAAGCGTTTTCCTCAATGAACACCAAAAGTCGAATCATATTTTCAATTTGGATTTTAGATCTTCTAAATTGGGAAATGATTTAATGGATGTGCAGCAAAATAATTTTCAATTAAATGAGCCCAGATTTCTAGAAAGAACATATAGTTGACCAAGATCTAAATGTAGAAAGGACCAACACTACTAATGAACTTTTTGTCAAATCTGGTTTTTAGATTTGTTTGGTTTAATATTTAAAGGTTAGAGTGTTATTAGTATGCTAATGAGCAACTTTTGCTTTGATGCCTTTAGGATTCTCTTTATCATATGAAAAATAGCAAATTACAGCAACATCCAATAGTGTGACCAAGAGACAATTTTTGATTATGGAGAGATGTTATGAATCCATGAGCTGAGCACAAAGACAGGAACAAGAACTAAGTCCTTTCAAATTTTTAGTCCCACAACTTGCAGATTGTCACCTATTTTTTAGGTCAGAACACAAACACTTCCGTTTTTTTCTTTGTAATGTAAAGTAATGGCATCTAGTTAAAAAATCTCTTTCAGACAATATCAAATCATCACTACTTGAAAGCGAAAAAAAAACAACAGACTTAAGAAAAAACATTTAAAATTTATATTAGTCTAAAACTGAAAATATTGCATTTCTTAAAATATATCTAGTATTTGACAAATAAAAAAGAGAAAATCATGGCACAAAAAGATGATTCATGGACAAATATAAAGTGTGTATACATTATGTACTTCTTTCCATCAATCACCGTCTTTTGATAAAAACAATTTGTTTAGTAAGATTAATAAACAACCAAAAAAGCATCTTTACAATGGTCAAGGTATTGCAAACTTTGTCTTATACCTCAACTGAAATAGCCACGTGTCTTGTACTGCAGAATGAAGCAATCTGATTGGATTGTATGCCAGCCAATAAAGCCAATCATAGCATTACAGACTGTAAATGTAATGGTATATTGTTTACAGACTTTCTGTCAAGAACTATGATTGACTGTAGTTGCTAATGTACAATCCCACTAAATCGTTGCATTTACAAACTTCTGTGATACAAGAAAGTTGGTAATCAAGGTATAAGACCAATTTTGAAGTAGCATGACATTGTGAAGATGCCAAAAGGCGTTGCTTACAAGCTAAGTAATATCACTAAAATATCCTTGCATTCAGTAAACAAATTATACCTTTTTGTTACATATATTGCTGTCTAATCAATATAAAAACGAAACAAAACATTTTTCAAAAACTACTTTATACAATGAGATAACTGACTGCGTTGTATGAATGTTTTCCGATTAGTGGCAGAGCCAGGTAAACGTCTGAGAGGGGGCAAAATATCTGAGATTGCCTGAATTTCTAACCTTGTTATGAGGTTTGGCAAGGAGGGGTGGCTGTCCCCTATGTCTCCGCCACTGTTTCCTGTCAAGCTGTCAAAGAACTGGATAACTTCAAAATAACACTAGATGCTCTAGTTTAAAAAAAAAAAACATCATAGCAACAAATATTTCAAAAAGTTTCACCAATTGCTTCATCAGACTAAGATATAATATATATTTATAGACATAACCTGCATTCTATCAACACTATCCAGTCAGCCTGTGAAGTTTCCCTTATCAAGTAATATCGCATTGAAAGTTATAAATAGTTGAAGGTACAAATATGATGTTATCTTTTCTGATACTTCATGTTTTAAAACCACCTTTAAACTTATTGAGAGCCGAGTGGTATTAATAACTATCATCAAATAAAGACATCCACCTATCTTTAGATTGTAGTATCGTAGCTACAGTAGATTGTCCTATAACAATACCATATTTTTTCTGAACAATTTTTATAATTCCACTCTGAGTAATTTGGGGACAGTTATCTTTAATTCTACAAATATCTTGTTTCATCTTGACACTTATAACAGTCTTTTTCTTTGAATTTCCCATTATTTTCTCAATTTGTTCTGCTGACATCATCTGATAATGAGAAAAAAAGGAAAACAAATTTAGAATTGAAAACTTTCCAGTATCTAGATATATCTAGTAGCTTTTATAGTGAAAATGAAGTCAAAATACTTAACCAAAGTAAGCCAAGATACTGTGAAAGCTTAACTCTATAAATTCGATATTATTATTCATCAAATTCATCTGTCAAAACTTAAAATGTACTCATGTATCACATAGAGACAAAGGTAAATGAAACAAATCAAAATATAATACACCTCAATAAACCGAAAAAGTAAAAAAGAAACAACTTTGACCTAAGAAAAGGGCTTTATTCTATCAGAAACCCTTCATAGGAAGATATTTTCATCCATTCTAATGAAACAATATCACTAACACTATTTCTCCATTTACTATCAATACCTCACAGTTTTACCATAAACTATTCTAAAACACCAAATAATCAATTAAATTCTCTTGGAAATTCAGTCAAACCCCAACAATAGACATTCATACAACTTTTGATCTTAAAAATTTCTAGCATGATTTGTCAGTTGTCAATTGCATTTCAGAATTATTGAACCAATAGTTCTTGAGCATATCAAACCACAAGAAGGTATATATTTTAAGGATTAAATTGTTTTAAGTATACATGTTTGAACTTGAACTGTCAGAGTACTTAAAACATGTAACTGGTGTAAATTGATATATTTATGTCCATTAGACTATTGCATTTTATTACATTCAATTTAGAAGTTATAAGAACATGCCAATAGATTCTGTAAGTGTGCTTGATGCACAAAATAAAACAAAGACTTCTTTTTACAATCATCTTTATGAGGTGTTGTTCTCAGAAAGATAAGTTTGTGACTATGATGTAATTGTAAATTAGCAGGACACAACTGGTTGGTATAAGCAGTCATCATCCAAATAAAATATAGTTAAAAAGGTTATGTCTTAAACTGTAAGACCCAAGCATGGGACAAGACAAAAGCCTACAATCAATGATCAGTTAATAATCACAATATTGTAATTTAGAAATCTTCTGTATAATAATAAATATAATACTACTAAATAAAAAGCATATCCAAATTCTTAACTTCCTGGGTTATTTTTGAGTTAAGTATAATATTAATATGAATACAAAAAAAAAATGTAACTTTGACATTTAGTTGATTATGAAATTTGATAATCAAAATTTAAAATTCATAGTGCCAACCATATCATATCCTATATAGAGTCTAAAAGAACAAAGAATTATGTTTGGCAATACCTTGAAAAAAGCCATGCAGATTTCCAAATTGTATTATGTAATAGCATAGAATAGCATAGTTGTATATTACACTCTAAAAAGATGTAAGCAGGAAAAAATACATTCCTAATTCATAACACAAGTTACAAATAAAACTTCCAACAAATCATATAAAAATAATCTCATATTTTCGTATGTAAGAGAAGATTTTGATCTGTTAGTTCATTGTTTATGTAATAGCAGAAACTATGTAACTCTATGTCCTTAATGTGTAACATTACCGAAGAAGTGATTTCACCCATAGAGTGTAAGTACAGTTTTTCATTCAGATTAAATTTAGTCTAATGTTGTATTTTGTGGGTAAAGGCATATTTTTTTAAAATTTGTTATTTACGATAAAATCATAAGGGATTGTAACATTTATTTCAGTGTATATGATTTGTCAGCAGTCTATACTACAGATCTGTTTAGTAAAGATAGCTGTTTCTTTTTCTTGGTCAACATAATATTAACTTCATGACTTTTTAAACATATTTTTCAAATTCTCACAATTAAATGAATTTTTCTTGAGTTTTTCAAATTTCAGTATTCATTGAGTTTTAGAATGATAACACACTGGGATTTTCCATACAAACAGATCTGTAGTACTTCCTCTACAATGTTATCAAAATATACCTACCGTGACAGGACTATTTTTAGAATTATAAAATGAAGATGAACCAACTGAAATGCAAAAATCACTTATATAAGTTTATAATTTTCTATGAACTTTTAAGTGGACTTTACTGTCTGTTATTTTCTTAAGGAGTCAATATCATCAGAATTTAGAGGGAATTTGGGGACTATTTAAGGTTGAAACTTGTAGTTCCTATTTTCACAACTCTGATTTAAGACCCCTATAATATCTACAATCCAGATAAACTTAGTCATACTTAATGACACAACCATACTGTTAAGCTTAAATGGTTCTTTTCTTTAGCTGATAGTCTACTTAGGTTTGTTTTGGGTTTGAAAAGTGAAACAGTGCAAATGGAAACAATCTATGTCCCCAGATAACAAACCAAGACTAGAAAACCTTTTTGTCTCTTTTGATTTACTCAGATTTTCATAATTCTAAAGTAATATTGCAATATAAATCAATTATGATAGATGGAATGGACTCATTTGAATTTCATTTCTAACTTTTGTCATTTCTTTTTCGTATACCTGTACTGGTACTGGAGAAAAGATCAGTGATTTAAAAAGAGTATAACAATACCTGCTGTAGAAGAAGAAGATAAGTTAAATGATGAAGAAGAAGCTAGATCACTGGATTGCTGCAATGATGTAGGATATAGTCCTAATGTTTTATCACGAAGTCCTATTAAATAATCGTCACTACACATATCATCAGCCAGTACACTATTATCACAATTATTATCATTATTAGGGGTGCTTGCTTCAGATGTACCTATTAAAAAAGAAATTGAATTATATTTAATTTTTCGATGGTGTTCTCTATTTCACAAAGTCTTGTTAAAAAATCTCAAGAAGGTCTTTCTTTGTTTGCAAGAAATAGTGTATGAAGGGAGAGGCCAATGAACATTGAAGACAATATATGTTACATTACATTTCATGTGTGCATGTAATAATCAGCACCTGTTAAGTACTATGAGACACCTACCCACACCTGAGGTAAAATTAGTTGATCCATCATCTTCACCCCGATCAACAGGTTCTGCTTTCACTCTAGATAAATCTATCTCTAAATCTATTGAGGGTATCACTTGGAATGGTTTATTTTCTTCCTCATCAGGCTCAGAATTATGTATCCTTGACTGTGAGACACTCTCAGTATTATATGAAGAGTTAGTTGCAGAGGTACTTGGTTGATTTGATTTATGAAATAAGTTCCTGTCATTGTCAACAAAATCACTTTGAGGACTTCGTACACTTGGTTGTCGTAATGGTGAAACTTCAGTAACTGTGGGTTTAAATATTTTAGGAGGATGAATGATATACTGCTTTTCAGGTCTTATTCTTTTCTTTCTGTTTGGTCCAAATGTGTCATTTGTTTGATTTAGGTTATGCTGAGGATGTGAGGTGCTTCTTTGGTTAGCCATATTGAAATGTCCTGAAGTCAAATCATTTGATTTATCAGGGGCTTGTTGGGTTTCTGGAATTTTATTCACTTTTGCTTTAGGCTCAGAATGATAACTGTTACTAACAAACATTGTGGAAGAATTGTCATTTTTACACACTTTTTCATTAACAATATAATCTATATTAGTCTGACTGTCAACATTTAGATATAAATGTCCTATAACTTGTATGGAATTATTAAAGTTCACATGACCATGACATAAAACTTGTAGATTTTTAACTAATGAGTTAATGAACTTATTTGCTTCTTCAATATCCATGGTTGACACTACTTTCTGAAATATATGTCAGATGTAGATGTTAAATACAGTTTAAGATCATAAAATAGTCAATAACATTTTAGCTCTTTTGAATGGAATGAAAATCAGTTGATGTGGAAATTTTTTGCACATACTAGTATCATATTGTCTAGATTTATTGGATTAAAATGTGATTTTGACATAACTCTGTATCCTTTCAAGTGGAACTGTCAGCAGTAAACATATTGATTAGAACCCCCTTTACTCATGTCTACTACCGCTAGTTTTCCACGATAGAGTAAAATTTTTTTCAGCTCTATATCTTATCAAAATTAACCGTTGTCTTAGTACGTTATGGACTATGATGAAGAGTTGTAGAACTATTGACACACATTCTAAAATTTTAGAAGCATTACGACAGACGATACTGTGAATATTATTTCTTTTTGTGTTCATAGAATATTAACATTATATCTTTAGATTACCTTTCAGATTTAAGACGAATATTTTAACAACTTAATCCATAGGTAGATAATCTATTTCCACTTTTTCATTTGCATTACCTACTTCATCTGATGTCAGAAGCCCAGTTATTGATGACGTCACTTACGCAGGGGCAAATAATTGTAATACATCAATCAATTTTTTCATAATAAAGAGAGGTACAGAAATATAAAATTTTAGATATAAATGCGTTGAATTTTACATTTAAATTAGCTTTATCTTTCAGATTGTAAATGTTTTCAATCCTCATGTCCACTTTTAAGGATTAAAAACCCATTATAAAAATGATTACTCCAGCAGGTGCGCGTTATGATTTGATCATCCAGCCATTTCGGTCGTAGATATTTATGTCTGGTAGTAAAAATCTTATAAGTGATAATCTACAAAGCAAAGCAGCATTGTTGTTAATATTTTTCAGCTTAAGCACTGTTATTTGTGTGCACTTCAGTTCAGTTATTAATGTAGGTTAAAGCATAAGTTAAATTTGCACTCCTTGATTAGCAAGTTAGATAAGCTTAGTTTCATTCGGCTTTTATTTCCTTTTATCTATCCAAACTTTTTTCAATTATTGGCTTGCCTTGATTTGGTTGGAATGGATACTTTGATAGGATCATTCGTCCATCAGGCTGATCCATAATTCTGTTGTAGACTTGTTGCCCACTAAACTCAGTAGCCCACCTCTGTATTTCTAGAAAGTCTTCTGCATTGGTTACTATTTCCCACTGATTGTCTGATTATTTTTTAAATGAAATAAAATAATGTAAAGACCAAAATTTTAATCTCCCTTTCCCTTGGTGTAATATTTGGCACATTCAATAATCACTCTGTCATGCATTTGGAAAGTTAGTCTGTTATGTTATAAAATTACTCATTTCTAAGATTATTTTCTCTAAACTTTTTAGTAATTTATATTTCAGAAAGTAGTGTCAACCATGGATATTGAAGAAGCAAATAAGTTCATAAACTCATTAGTTAAAAATCTACAAGTTTTATGTCATGGTCATGTGAACTTTAATAATTCTATACAAGTTATAGGACATTTATATCTAAATGTTGACAGTCAGACTAATATAGATTATATTGTTAATGAAAAAGTATGTAAAAATGACAATTCTTCTACAATGTTTGTTAGTAACAGTTATCATTCCGAGCCTAAACTAAAAAAGAAATCAAAAGATAGTACCAACAATAACAGCTGTGAATCAAAAGATCAGAGACCGCAAGAATCTCAGGAACCAAGGAAACACCAGAAACCTCAAAGATCTGAAAGAGAAGCAGATTTTCAAAGTTCATTTTCTGGTCACAGAAGTCCTCGTCCAGCTCCAATACATCAACAAGTTTATAAACGACCAAGTCAGGATATTTTATCACCAATATTACGACATGAAAACTGTGGGAAAAAAAGATTGAGAGTGTCTGAAACATCAAGTGAATCTCCCATGTTAAATTTATCAAATATTAAAAGTGAACCACAAGAGGTTGATAAAGAAGATGAAAGTGATTGGTCTTATTATGATCACAATCAATCATCACAAGGTTGGTATATAAACGAAGCCATTATATATATTATGTTATTTGGTGGAAATATTTTGACCAACTTATCACCCTGGACAGTAAGGATTGAGAGGCTTAGTTTTCATGTCATTGACTGTGGCATCAGACTTCATATTTTGGATTTGGCAGTCAATGGCTCTCAGAACCTGCTTATACAACAATAATAAAATTATTGTTATTGTGTGAAAACACTCACTAGCAATTTTGTTTATTTGATGTGTCATGGAATCATTACTTCAGGATCAATAGAAGAACTAAGTAATGAGTTTATATCTGGTATAAGAGATAAAAAGTTAGGTGTATATCCTGTAGCAGTTCATCCAAATGAGGATAATATACCATTTAATCTACCCCAAATATCTACACCTTCTTCATCTTTACATTCTACTCATGATGGTGATTCAGGTAGGTTCATCATTACATTCTTCTCATGATGGTGATTCAGGTAGTTTTTTTTCATTACATTCTTCTTATGATGGTGATTCAAGTAGCCTCATCATTACAATTTACTCATGATGGTGATTCAGGTAGTTTCATCATTACATTCTAATTCTGACAGTGGCTCAGCAAGGTTCATCACTATGTTCGCCTGGTTACATCATTACATTTCACTTCTGATCTTGATTGAGGAAGGTTCATAATTACATTGTACTAATGGTGGTAATTGATTTAGTTTCGTCTCTTATATACTCCTGATGGTGATTCAAGAGCATTCACAAGTATATTCTTATTCTGATGATGATTCAGGAAGGTTTATCATTACATTCTATTTCTGATGGTGATTCAGGTAGGTTTGTCATTACATTCTATTTCTGATGGTGATTCAGGTAAGTTTATCCTTCGATTATTTCTGATTGTGATTTAGGTAGGTTTATCATTACATTCTTTTGATGGTACTTCAGAGGGTTTCATCATTACATTTTTCTTATGATTGTGATTCAGGTGGGTTCATCATTATATTTTACTTTGTTGGTGCTTCTTGGATCATCATTACATTCTTCTGATGTTGATTCAAGTAGGTAACAGGAGGTAAGGGGTTGATTTCCAGTCTTTAATTTTATAGCAGGACCACATACAAATTTTATTTGTATCATTCCATTCTGGTAAAACATCTGTGTTTCTGTACAATTTTTGTGATTGGATTTTGGAATAGTGATGTCAAATCTGATGGTGAAGTTTTTCTGGAACTACAGGAACCACAGACAAAAAAACCATATTATTTTTGGTTACATGATAAAGTTATCTCCTGTGAAATCAAACTTTCCTGAAAATTGATAGATATTTTGTTGATATTTTTAGGAGGAACACCATTTCAAGTCCAGCCAGAACCACTCAGTGTAAGTCAATTGTTTTTATTTGCTAATGACAAGCTGAAAGAATAAGACATACATGTTTATTAAGAGTTAAAATGTACATATTTACAGATTATAAATTTGTGAACCTCAAATACATCTACCTACCAGTATCTTCAAATGAATTGCATGTAGTTTACTTATTTTGAATTTCTCAAAAACTATCAAATATACTGTCGAACTAATGTTGCTTAGAATTGCAATTTTGCTCAAGCATACAAATTTTTTTTGGAAAATTGATTTTGCACACTGGAATTTTCAGTTCAAAATTGCCTTTGGGTTGTTTATTTTGTATGTTATAAGTTACGGACTTAAAGACATATCATGACAAATAACAGGCTTTTGAGATATTTTTTTGATCTTAATGAAATGACAGACAATCTCAAGTCAGAATTGACAATAACTAAAGAGTAGGTATACTGTTCTCTCAGCTTGTCTTAGATATATTTTCTACAAGGGGGTTTAATTTCTTTCTATAATTATTGAATTTATTAGATCTGTTGATTTTGCTGTATTTGCGGTTCAATTGAATGATAAAAAGTCCAAAATGCCTATTTGAACATATTTCTTTTGAAGCAAGCCATTCTATTTTTATGAAATTTTCACAATAAAATGCATATGATTACACCTATGTGCATGGTCTATACAAATATAATACTATAATTCATAACCTACTACAAATACTATTTCAAGCACGGATGAAATAATTTAAACATACAGATCTAGATGTAATGTTTTCTGGTTGTTACTTCACTTTCTCTACTACATGCAGGAGTCAGTTTTGTTAATTGAGTTTGGACAAACTTTTACCTAAGATCATAATATTATCATTTGCATGGTTGAATGTCCTCTTTGATTGAGATTTAAGGAAACACAGTTGGGGTACAGGGCAGGGCATTTGCCCCCCTAGGAAATTGGTTTGCATTCCCGTTTGTACCCCCATTTAGTTGACAAAGTTAAAAATATGATATTTTTATACGTTTTTCCCCAAAATATGTGGTTGAATGCTCTGAATCAATCCAATTTTTCGAAAATTTTCTTGGGAGAACCCTCTTAGACGTTCCATAAGAGACTTGTAGCTATAACACTTCATTTTGAATTAAGCCTAGACAGTTGACCCTCTTTCAAGTCGGTCTGCCACCTATATTTACCTCCAGTCTTGCGTTGCCAATGTTTGTGCCAAATGTATGTACTATTCTATTAAAAACACAAGTAGCTAAAACAAATACACAATTTTGCTTTGTGCATTTTAGTTTTGATTGGTTTGAGTTGTCAAGAGGTTTTTACTTGTCAATTAAAAAGTTCTGTTCACACCAAAGAAATTAAAAAAAGAGTATGAATAGTTTTGATTTTGTGCTTTTTGTCTATCTTACAGTTGTCATCACTTTTTGGTCCAACTAGAAAATCCTATAGTGTTTGCATGAAAAAGAAAATGTGTCAATATAAAGAAGCCAACCCTAGTGCTACGTATGATGAAATTATAGAACATTTGAAGACAGAATACAATATTGAAATAGTAAAACCAACATTGGCAGCCATTTTAAGGGAAAAAGATAAATGGTTGAACATTCCAGAAGATCCAAGCTTTTTTGGAACTTTCAAGACTCGTTTAAATAAAAGATAGAATGTGTTACTGAGAGAAGAAAATAAGTGTATAAAAGATTAGATTTTAGGGCTTTATCAATGCATGGTTTTGATTTTGAAGTAAACAATTAGCGTATTTCATACAATACACATACGATACACATAAAAAATTTAGAAAACCTCTTTACAGTCCCTATGATATTTATATATTTTAGTGTTTAAAACTTATAAATATTTTGCTACATTGCTACAATGACTACTGGATTTCTGTGAAAGTTAAAAAAAATTATTTTCATTTTTTTTCTGTTTCTTTCACAGATATCCAGTGCCATTGAGACGATATTTCATAATAACCCAACAAGACAAGCATATAGTGTAGCAAGAAAGAAATATATTTGTCGTTATCTTGAGGATAATCCACATCTTAGCCGTACTGATGTTGTAGATCATTTCAATCAGAAATTTGGAACCAATATGTTGTATGGAACTCTAAACAATATTTTAAGAAAGAAAGAAAAATGGATGAGTATTCCTGAAGGACAGGCACAGAATATGAAATGTAAAATTACTCTATGATTATGTTGTGATTTACTTGTATTAAAATGTCTATGACTAGGATCATTAAGACCACATAAAACTGCCATTGATTCAACAACGGTGTAGTTTTGATTCACCCCTATTAGAGTAAAACTCCTTTCATTTCATCCTTATCAGATGTTTGTGGGTATTGCTTAGAGCAGCACTGAAAAAGGAATGTGTGAACCGTGATGTTAGTGGATGATATGAAAAAAGTTTGGATTGGGTAAAAACTGAAGCCTTGAATGTGTCTTGATGCATGTACAGTTTAGGCTTTTAATGCAATTGAATTTCTCTCATTGCGTGCAGTGATTGCCCATATGCCATTTATCAAAGGCAAAGCCATGGTCAATTATATAAGGTAACAGCTTTACGATGGTTTGTAGCACAGCAGAATAGAGAATTAGAATCTTGACTTCATTTGCATGATTACTTCACAGAAATGACAGTTGTGGGTTCTAATCTCATTCAGCATTTTAAAGACTTGTGAATGTGAACAACTTATCTTTGCCCATTATACTAAGTGTAGTTTGTCAGTTGTAAATGGGTAGAGATCGACTAAGAAAGATCGTGCCAAGAGGTTTTAACCAAGGACCTTTTAGACAAGAACCTTACGACCAGATTTGTTATCATTGTTTATTATTTGATTATTTGTTGAACCAGTTGACTAAAAGATCTGCCATCTGAAACATCTGCCTATAAAAGCTATTTTGACAGTGCTTAGCTGGAGTAGGTTAAGAAAAACTTGGTGTGGAGATTTTAAACATTTTTATTTACCTAGAATCCATCAAACCCAGATATATTTGGAAAGATTTAAAATTTTTAGTTCAGGCAGACTCGGCCTATGTAACAAATTGTTGACAGAGTCCACCAAAACTTATTGACCACAGGGTTACTACTGCCCCAAAAAGGCAACCAGGGGGTAGACAATAGGCAGACTTATGATATGTTTGTTATTATCTAGTTTCATGTTAACATTTGACAATGTTCCCCTGAAATATATGTCTATATGTATTTTCAGGTGGATCAGACGTCATTTAGAACTAGATCAAGACAGACATTTTCATCAACACTGAAAAAAGAGTTATGTTTGTATAAAGAATCTAACCCTGATTTGAGTTACTCAGATGTTATGAAGTATGCTAAAGATGTCTATGGTGTTGATATTTCATATTGGACATTATCTGGTATCTTTAGACAGAAACAAAGGTGGCTTGAACAGGAATGAAAGTTTTTGAGTGATTTATGTTGGTGGTTAACCAGTGCCTATCATAGATTAATGAGTTTTAAGTGAGACAATTATTTTTTGGTCGAAAAGACCATGACCAATTTAAAAGACTTTAGGTTTTTGAATTTTCAAACTTGTACTCTTGTGTATGTTTATGGATAGCCTCTTGGTGTTGTTTATTTTTGTTCTCTTTATGGTTAATGAGTTCAATGCATTTTTTACTTACATATTTGAGCATTGGTTTTTGAACAGCTTTGGAGGAGTAAGGAATTTATTATTTGTTCTGAATCATAAATTGGTATGTTAAAACTTTGATTGGAAAACAATAACTGTTCAAAAATCCTATATAATTATAGGTACATGTGTTAACTTCTATATATCTGATTGGTCAATAATATAAGTGCAGTTACATCAACCAATCAATGTGCTAGTACTGTACATTATGCACATTTAAAAACAGGTTAATTGGATAATGGACTGAGAATATATTATAATATACATAGTATTTTTTTTATACTGATTTCTCTGGTATGATAATATTTGAAAATGATTATGGTGAAATTGGTGTATTGTAGTTTGTATAATACACAACATGATATAATATACTACATAATAAAAATGTAAATAAAACATGATTTCAAAATGTGGTTCTTTATGATGGAATCAGTGGCAGCATCAGTTGGGGTACAGGGGGCAAATTGTACGCCCACTTGATTTTTCACAAATTGAAAAATATAGTTTTTATATGTTTTTGCACCAAAATATGTGTCAAAATGCGCCAAATCATTACTTTCTTTCATAATGTTGTTGTTGGAGAACCCTCTCTGATGCTCTATAGGAGACATGCTTTCAGAGCTGCTCAATTTGAATCTAAACCTCAAAGTTGTCCCCCAGGTTTGGAAAAGTGTCTTTTAGTTCAGTAATCACTTTTCCAAAATGTTTGAATAAAGAGAACCTATTCAGCTATATATGATAAAAAGTTCATTGCTTGCCATCCTTTAGCTTCCAAATTTTAGAATATGTTGTGAATTTGTTTAGTGTTAAATGTTGATTGATCTGGGAATTCTCCAAAACCACAAAAATATGCATGTTATTGCCCAAAATTCAGTTTAACTGTATCTATAGTGATTCTAAATGGATACGTTGTTTAACTTTATTTTAATTTTAGATATCTAATTTTTAAGTTACATATTCCAAGTACCGGTATGTAATTATGTGCAAAAAAAGGCAATATACGGTATTTCAAATTTTTTCTGATTTGCTAAACTGAAAATTGACACTTATTTTTTCTACTTATAGGTGTCAGAGTTAAATGAGAGGTTTTTTCCATGCATATTTTGTGGTAAAATTTTTCGTCACCAACCAAGTTTGAGTCGGCACGTTTCAGCTAAACATAGAGCTTATAGATCAACATGTCCTAAATGTGGTCAGATATTTTCACACACAAAAGCAATGGCAGAGCATCATACACTGTGTAATGGACCTGGTACAAATGATGATGATATACCATTGACTAAATCATATCCATTTACACCTGTTCAATTCTAATAGGTGTGTGAACAGTCGATTTTACCATTTAGATATATTGTAATTGTATTCCGAAAAGGTCCTAAAATATCCATACAGAATTGAAAATTGTCATTTTTACACATATACACATATAGACATTTTCAAACTCTAACAATACATGTTTCACATTTAATCATATCATACAACTTATATTACATGTACATTAAAACTTGAATCTTAAAAGGATTGTAAGGTTTATCAGGTCCATTTATGGCTTCTATAGATGTCAGTGGTATCTTTAGTTATAGACATGCTGCAACTGCATTTTGATGTCACTCTTGTGAAAGATGTAAATAATATCTAAGGGCCTCTGCGAAAGATACTTCGTAACACCTGTAGTTATAGTGCAGGGGTTTTCAAACGTGGGATAACTACCTCAGGGCTCCAAATTTTTTATTATAATTTTAGTTGTTTTAATTAGTCAGGCTATATTCTTGTATGAAAAGACTTTGCAGGGAAAACCTCAGAGAAATCACAAAATAGTAATGGTTTATATTGGCAATGGAGGTTATGCAGTTGATCGAGGATTCTGAAAAGGGTAATAGAAAGAAAACGGTTGAAAACCACTGTTTACTTTTAATTGTTATACCTCAAATCAAAATAGACTGCTCTAATTCAAGTTTTGTTTGAATGAATGTATAGTGAATAGTGATATAATTTATAACAATGGTATGGTATTTGTATACTTTCAGAATGTACAACAGTTTCGAGATGAAGATGGTATATTAAAATATAGATGTAGTTATTGTGATAAAGTTCTCCTCCATTCAGCCAGTATACAGAGACATATCAAAGAAAAACACTACCAAGTCAAGTATGACTGTCCTAACTGTGGCAAAAGTTTTTCACAAAAAAATTATGTGACAAGACATTTAAAAGATTTTTGTGGAGGTGTTAATAGCTTGGTTCCTTACAGTGCTCTAGATTATTCCTTATCTAATTCTACTAACATGAAAGCTGATATTAAATAGTCCTCTACTAATAATTTCAAAGACAACTCATGAGCGAAAGTGAATTTATTTAGTGCTTGGAGGGAATTTATAGTTTTTGTGGAGGCATCAAAAACCTACCTCCTTACAGTGTTTTAGATTATTCCTAGTCTAATTCTACTTAAAAAATGAAAGACAACTCATGAGTGGAAATTGATATTGAATTGAATATTCAGTACAGAAAATTTCAAAGAAGACTTGAGTGAAAACTGATATTGAATAGTACTTACTAATAATTTCAAATACACCTCATAAGTGAAAATTGATATTGAATTTAAATAGGGCTTGGAGGGATTTCTGAATTTCTATTAACAAGACATCAGCTGTATTTTACTGTCACAATAACCTAGATTATTCCTTATCTAATTCTTCTTTCAACATAAAAACTGATGAAGACATCTGAAAGATTTTGTGGCAGAGTTGAGCTTTTTACAACAGGAAAGACAACTCATGAGAATACTGGCCAATGGTCATTGAACCAAATATAAATAGTCTAGTCATATTGTGGTTTTAATATTAATAAGATAATATGCTGATTGTCATAATTGGTAATTTCAAATGTTTGATTAGATGGCACAATTTATACAATTTTAAAATTATGAATGGTTCCAATGTTGTTATTGTTATGCATCTACATGGGCATTATGTTTTTAATCTGAAAATGTCTGACTCTTATCTGGCAGCTGATAGGTATTTTGATGTTAATTTGCCAGCTCAGGGTCAAAAACAAGTCTTGGTGATGTAGGAGTTTTAAACCTATTTCACTGATCATTTTTATATTTGTTCACAGCACACATTTATCATGTAATAGTTTTTTACCTACTAAAAATCCATCATGCAATTAAATAGAAATTGATCAAAACCTTATTGTTTCTGATCCTACACCATTGATAACCTCAAAAATAGCTATTGAGAGCCAGGCAAGATTATTTTATATTGTGTGTTGTCAAAGTTCCTTATATTTAACTGTATTGTAATAATATAGATATACAGAAGTTTGATATTTGTTTTATATTCAATTAATCTGAATTAGTCAGAATTAACCTTAATCCAAATGTTACAATCTGCTTTCTTTTTGTGAGAGTATATGTTGCTGTCCACAATATTTACAAATGTACTTGACAATTCTCATCTTCATCTAAAGAATAAATCAGTCCATTTTGAATTAGGTAGAATAAGACTGCTAGATAATCTGCATTCCAAACAGGTCATTTAAATGTTATTTCTTTTACACCAATAGTATACTTTCTGACATAATATCATTGACCTAATTCTATGTTTAATATAAGCTAAGCTATAAATATCAAATATTACTATAAGTGAGTTCTTAAACAAAACTGAAAAATGCTTTTCATATCTTTTATTACTGATGTTTTAATATTTTATATAATTATATATGCTTTCATGTAGCACATAAATCATCTAATACCAATTTGAAACTTGAATCTTGCCGTGACATTGACCAGGCATTTTTCAGCAACGACAAAGTTACCATCTTTAATGTAGTAAACTATGAAGATTGAATTTTCAAATTTCATATTTTCTCGCAATAAAAATGAAATCAGCACTACTTTGTGACTGATGAATAAATAACATCTAGTTGAAAAACTGTAATCATTGACACATGATCTTAACATTTGGTAAAAGTTTTTTTAATGTGTCTAGATGAACCGAGTCTACACAAATAGGATTCTCTTGAATATCCAGATACTGTAAACTTCTACATTTCTGTAGCTGTTTGAGTGATTCAAGACTTTTAATAGCTAGAAATATGTTAAAGAATTTGTAACGTAAATGATAAGTATTCACATGTCAGATTCAAACTGAAAAACTGATGGAACAAAGAAAATGAGTAATACATTAACCAAATGAGCCTTAGGAAAGTTCGAACTTTTAACACCCCTTGCAACCGTGTTATTAAACGATATTTTCCTTCGTCCACTTATCTATAAATGATTTTGTCAGTATATTCAAAAGGATACAGTTCTTTTTCAATGAAAGGTGTTGAAGATTGGGTAAACAATCTATACCAGTAATATCACAGATATTATTATTATCTACAACTAGTTTTTCTACACATTGTAGATGCTCTATATTATTAACACATCTCAACTGGTTACCATGGAGATCTAATTCTTTAACTAAGGGCAATAACTCTGTGTGATATAATACTGAAAGACCTTTATTAGAAAAGTCCAGACTGGTATGGTTTGGTTCCAACTTTTCTAAAACATTTTCAACTAATACTTTTGAACCTGCAAGAAATGTAACAATCAAGCATAAAAAAATATCAGAACTTTGAGGAATAATCTGCATTTTATTGTTCATCACTGAGCATGACAGTACATGCACACCAATATAATTATGCAGGTTATTTGCCACAGTTGGAAGACAAGAACATTTGTTTCACAATTTTCCAAAATCCCAAATTGATCTCCTGAAACTTATTTTCCATTCCCAATATAACATAACATATAAGATAACTTACGAAGGTCTTGATAATAATTCTTTCTTTTAGGGTCTAATTCTTGTAATCTTATAACATGTTTTAATATTTCTTCTTCATATTGTATAGAATCTAGTGACTTCATTAGTGACATAATTGTTAAAATTACCCCTAGAAAATACAATATACATTACACATAAACTTTCAAATGAACTAAGACATTGGAGAATAGCAGCAAACCTATATATCCAGTGTCCTTCCATTACAGTAAGTAGATGTTCGAAAACCATACTTCAAGTACATGAACAACGATAACTGTGTAAAAAATGTTAACAAGGCAACAAAGAATACCTCATCTAGACTAGATCTATTAGATACTCCATTTTAAGAGTTGAAACATAATTATGTTTTTTTTTGGTATTTGTATCTATTGATATTTACTCTTCAGCAACATATTTCTATGCCAACTGTATCACCATCTAAAATGGATTGGAAACTGTGGTAATATATAACTTACATTTATTATCTGGTTCTATATCATACAATTCTTGTATAGCTGTTAATTCTCTTGTTAATGTTTCACTAGTAGCTGAACTTAACTCATAACTACAATATATTAACTTTCAATATTAGTTACTTTTAAAATCCATGCCATTAAATAATAAATATTCTGGAATGCCTTTCCATCTGTTGAAACAATATTTGGGTAGGATCCAGAGCCTATGATATTTGTGCTTGAGTAACAAGCATTTGTTCTTATTAAATTGACATCATACAATATATCTGATAATGTCTCTAATGAACTCAATAATTATTCAGCTTTATAAAGATAACAAAAGTTTTTGGTATATCAATAAAAAAAATTCCCAAATACAAGAAATCCAAAAATGTTTTTGGATGATCTCCCTTGAAAATCAACATTTGATTTTTAGTCCTTAAAGTAACGA